CATGGTTTTACAAGTTGTAAAGTCTCATCCAAAGTCCCATGCCTGCCTTTGATTTTGTGGCATGAGTGTGCTGACAAGTTTTACACGTTTTACAAGCCCCTCCAAAGTCCCAAGTGCCTGCCTTTGATTTTGTAGTATGACTTTCTTTACGAGTTTCACAAGTCAGTCCAAGATGTCCCAAATGGCCAGCCTTTGATTTTGTAGCATGAGTTCCTTTACAAGATCTTACAAGTCAGTCCAAGATGTCCAAAATGGCCAGCCTTTGATTTTGTAGTCCCAACACCCATGGCAGGCTACCTCAAGATGGAACAAAACCTGAGAAGAGGGGACGAAAGCCAGGAACTAGTTGGAACGGGGAGACGAGAGTGGAGAGGATGGGACAGATTTCGGCGGGGGTTGGTGGAGGAGGCGGCAGTGCGAGGCTATATTGAGTGCCGTTTTGGAATCCGTGGGGAGAGGGAAGGAATGTGCAGGAAACTTGACGTACTATACTTGACACTCCATATGTGGCATTTTACATTCCACACTGGACTGGTTCGACGTTAGACTTAGCAGTCTATACTATAGAATCGACACCCCTACATTTCATACTGTACAAGTTATATTTTACATTCCTGGTTCCTCACTGCACACCGGACACTCCACAGGAACAGGAAAAAATTCGATTTTCTAATTTTTCCATCAAGTATGACAATGATGGGGTTCCATAGATTTTGCTGAAGGTAAGCTAAGAGGGAACCATGCAAAAGTAAGAAATATTACCAGTACGAGTAGATTCTGCAGATGGTGGATTCATCCAAGTGTGTATCAAGTTCCTCATTTGCTAGCTTCTATTTGTCAAAATCCATGACGAGACGATGTCTCAGAGTTTCAAAATTGAGCTATGTCGAGCAACTTCCGGCAAACTACTTTGGAGTCTACATGCCTGCTTTAGAGGTCATCAGTCCCTGAATGGCGTTGATTGACCCACCAGCAAACCTAACTTGCACAGTGCACACCATTTTTTTGGGCCACGATGCCTCTCGTCGTACGTACATACGTACGTAGGTCTGTATGTATGTATGTATGTATGCATGCATGCATGCATGCATGTCTGTATGTATGTATGTATGTATGTATGTATGTCACCGGAAATGCCTGAATAGAAACCAACGAACGCGCATGCTGGGCTCTACAAGACCGCAAATCAATTCTCAACACTTTTTTAAAAGTGTTTAAAATTCTTAGCATCGTTCAAGACCGACAAAAAGCGTAATGAGTTGCCCGAAAAGGAGGTGGAGGTCACTTTTGGGTATGTATAACCGAGAAATTAAACGTGATCCACTACAGGATGACAACAAAATTATTTATGAAAATCACAATAACAGCTTCATTTCGGTATGTTTGTCGGGATCAAAATCTAGTGCCCCAAAATATATTGACATCTTGTAGACATATATACATAGATGCATACATATACATATACAGTATACATATACATATGTGTGTGTGTAATCTATACACGATATGATATGATACTATGTTGTACACTGGTGGAATACATCGAATCCCATCCGGTGGATATCAAATGCTGTCTGGTTGCAAACCGCAATACTGCAAAACTGTGGGCTACACATGGTTATACACATGTGATTGCAAAGCTTTCGGATCAGACACCCGTTTTGGCGACCTCAAAATCGGGGCCGGCATTGAAGCCATGCATGCAGTTGGGTTACAAAATTACTTATGAACAAAAAAGGGGCGATGGTTCGAGACAGCAATAGTTTGCAGAGCAGCTGCAAGGCCGATGCTGCACTAGTGGGCCATGTGAGACTCCGTTCTTGCTTCATTTGCCCCTCCATTCCCGTCGCCCCCAATGCACGTTTTTCCGTGCCCCCAATGCACGTCACTGGACGGACGAGGGGGGAATCGAACCCCGTCGTGCAATTGCCACCTGGCACATCAGCCTCAAAATCGACCACGGTGGCCACCCTATTCAGTTGGGGAAGTGCCTCAAAATGGTCCGTTTTGAAGCGACCGCCCCCCGGACCCCCTATTCTCACTTCGTTCGCAAAGAGCAACTTAAGCCAAACTTGACAGCTGGTTTTCGTAATGACCCCACTACAGAATCAAGGTCGTTCCCTCTAACTATCTCTCACCACTACAGAATCAAGATCCGATAGATCTAAAGAAAAATGGTCATATGGAACTGATATTACTACAGAATCAAGAACCTGAATTCTACATCTGACATCTCTCTACAAAATCAAACGCCCATACATGTTGGGCAAAAGGGGTTTCAGGGGAATTATCCTTTACAGAATCAGCGTCATTCCCTCTCACCATCTCTCACCACTACAGAATCAAGATCTGAAGATATGACATTGATGAGCATGCTTTGGCTACAAAATCAAAGGCCTTAGGACGTCACCAGCCTTATTTCTACAAAATCAATCCCTTCCCAAAATGTAAGGTTTTGTGCACTTCTTGCTCAATGTTGGGGCCCCCATTACAGAATCAGGGACCTAACAAGATACAGTCCAAAAATGACCAAAATTGGTGGTTTTTGGGTGTTTGCCAGCCCATGGTCCTTGATTTTGTAGCACAGTAAGGGTGCAGACTGGCTCTCCAGAATCGAAGGTTTTTGGGGTGTCAACACCCCTGATTCTGTAGAGGAAATTGCAACCAGGACCTTTAAATTCCTTAAAAGACGAATTTACCACATGACATGGGACGTCCAATTCCTTAAAATTCCTTTAAATTCATCTAAATTCCTTTAGATTTCTTAAAATTCTTTAAAAGTGTTTTAAATTCATTTAAATTCCTTTAAATTCGTTAAAAGACGAATTTACCACATGACATGGGACTTCCAATTCCAGCTGCTCAGCTCCGACCCGTCCAGCTGCTCAACTACTAAATAGGTGCTAAATAGCTGCTAAATAGTTTCGAAATAGCTGCTAAATAGTTGTTGAATAACTCCTAAATAGGTGCTACAGTAAATAGCTGCTAAATAGCTTCGAAATAGCTGCTAAATAGCTGCTAAGTAGCTGCTAAATAGCTGCTCAATAGCTGCTAAATAGTTGCTAAATAGTTGTTGAATAACTACTACATTGGTGCTAAATAGTTGCTAAGTAGCTGCTAAATAGCTGCTCAATAGCTGCAAAATAGTTGCTAAATAGTTGCTGAATACCTGCTAAATAGCTGCTAAATAGTTGCAACATAGTTTCCAAATAGTCGCTGAATAATTGATAAATGGTTTCTAAATAGCTTCGAAATAGCTGCTAAATAGCTTCTAAATAGCTGGTAAATAGCTGCTGAATAAATGCTAAAGAGTTGCTAAATAGTTTCTGAATAGCTGCTAATTAGTTGCTAAATAGAACAAGGAGGTGAATGGATTCATGTGACTTTGGAATATTCTAACTGCTGACGTATAATTTTGGATTATTCCAAGTGCTAGTAGGTAGTCATACACTCATATACTATCTTTGTTCATGTGGGATGTGAAATGTACAGTGTGTGTGAGTTAGTTGACATGACATGTTTTGCATCTTTTTGGATGCAGAGGTCCCATGTCATGTGGTTTTTTTTTCCGAGGCACTTTACAGATGACACGGGACTTATGCATGTTTCTGCTTTTTTCACTTTGCAGATGACATGGGAGTTTGCGTTTTTTGGGCATGTCCGACAACTCCCATGTCATTGCAGGTACTATACAACTTTTGCATCCTCTTCTCAGCCTACGTTCTACTCAATGGATCTTCTATTTGGCACTGAAACGCTACAGTTTTTGCCTGGATCCGGGATTCCTGAGACCTCCCTTCTTTTTGCAGTTCCCGACTGAAATGTTGCTGAAAGTGAGATCTTTGGGTTTCGGCCTAGATTCCTAGTTTTGACGGCGATATCCTTTTCATACCTCACACAAAAAGTTTGGAATTGCATGTGCGTAACTGGGTGCAATATTGTTACCAACCGGTGTTGTTTTTACACGCCAAGAAATGCATTGAAGAGTTGTTGGCCAAGCTACTTGAGTTGTCTTGGCGCCATTTTCAGCAAAAAACGCAACTCTTTCACCCTCCTCTATTCAGTCTACGTTCTACTGAATGGATCCTCTATTTGTTCTGGCGCTCAAAGTCTCAATTTCTTGTGTTTGATCCACGACCACGCTATTTGTAATATAGATTATATAACAAAGAACAATAAAAGAACGCATTGAAACTGCGCAAGTAGAAACGCTGCCACGTCCACCGTCGCCCACACTGTTCCAACGCGAACGAGCAGATTGCGTGTCAGTGGAAGCCATTTCTTGTTCGGTTTCAAGCGGCGGGGCCGAGGCTAAAGCCAAAACTTGCCGCAACAAGTCAATACAATCGCCTGACGGTTTTACTTCACCACGCCGCTTTGCACTACGGAGTTTGGACAGGTTGGAACTTTTTCCATGTGCCGTTGCGTGTCTTCTGAGTATCAATGAAGGCTTCGAATCGTGAGAAGGGTCTGGGCACGTGGTTTTTATAACCTTGTGAGCGCCTTGTGACCGCCTTCGATGTCGGTACAAAGGGGTCCGATAGGGCGATGTGGCCACGTCCTAAAGTTTCCTAAAGCAGGATTGCTACTGTACGTATATGTAAGTATGCTACACGGGAGTGTGCCACTTGAGTACGTTGTAGCGAATCACTTGCCGCCGCCAGGCCTGTTAAACATTCACGGTCCTGACTCAGATTCAAATTCACCCCAAACAAACGGTCCCATTGCTGAATTTGAGTGTTTGAGGATGGTTGCAAACAAAGGTTGATCCTCGCCTGAGTCCCGCTCGAAGTGAACCAGGTCAAAGTAGAAAGTGCAAAGCCGCGGCGCAGTTGTTTATGCGCCAGTGCATAGCCATCAAGGTGAAAACCGGTCCCTCCCTATCAATTGGGATTGGGCCGATACAAAAGGAAGGTGAAGCTGGCACCTGAACAAGTTGCGTGGAGCGAAACTCACACGGGTGGTGAAATATCGCTACTAGAAACGGTATACATGGCCACTCAGTCAGTGCTAGCTCGAGAGAGCGATTGGTCTCGGAAGCATCTCGCTAGGACTTCTCGCACTTCTCCATCTGGAATTCGTGGTGCTAGAGTGTGGGCACACACCTTGCAAGGTCTTCTGCTGAACTTGGTCGTGTTTGGCCTGGTCAAGGCTTCACACTGTGGGTCTGCATGCCACACAGTACCGTGGGGTGCAAAGTGCACAGGTCTGTTGGCTGCCTTTTCTATTCCTGCTGCAACGTGACGGTCCACAACTTGGTTGAATTTTGTCTGGCGGCTGAGAACATCAGCGGCCATCGTGTCTCGTGCTTCCTTGGCACGAAGATGTATCTCCTTGTTCTTTTCCAGCTCGGTGGCATACTTCCTTTTGAAAAGGTTGAGGTGCTCTTCTAGCCTCTGGGATCTGTGGTGTTCTTGCTGGTATTGTTGTTCCAGGTGCTGAAGCTGCCGCTGGACTCGCTCCAGCTGTTGCTGGAGGTCAGGATCCTCCCTGGTTGTCTGCGTTTCCACCTCATTGGTAGATGTCATAGACAAGGGCGATGTCATACGTCTGAATGTAGCGTAACTGAGTCGCAGGAGTAGATGAAGGATGATGATCACTGCAAAGGTGATAAGAATGATGAAGGTGAGGTCGAAGTAGGTGAGTTGGTCAGGGTCGTGTGGTGGTAGTTGTGTCAGTTGGTCGCTGCTAAGTGATTGTGAGTCTGACTGCATTACTAGGTAGGCTGTGGCAAGTAAGGCTTGCATTGCTCGTTGGGGTTTTCGCAGTGCAAACTGCTCAGCGCTTTTCTTTCTGTCTGCTGCGCTTTTCTTTTTTGCTGCTATGAACTGGTCGTCGGGCTTGACGCTGGTGTAGTGTGTGCGTAGCCGCTGGGCAAGTAGTGCTGCTGCTGATGCTTTTGTCATGCCGTCTGCGTATTGTAGTTCTGATGAGACCCATTTTGTCTCTGCCTGCATGCATTTGAGCTTGTCTTGTGTAACGAGTAGTTCCACAGACGTTCGTTTGTCTGCTCCACTGTTTGGCTGGAGCTCTTGTTTCGTGAGTAGGTCGTATAGTGCTTTTGCATCTGTAACGATGCAAGGCTTGTGTGGTAGCTGACATGCGGTCATGTCGTCGATTGCCAGTGTTGGGTGCCAAATTAGCTGCCAGAAGGTGATGTTGTACATCATGGCGTCTGCTGTTTCTGACGCTGCTTGTGCTTCGGCACTCAAGCTGCTGCGTGCTACACGGGGTAGTTTCCAGCTGCGCCAGTCGACTAGGCAGTAGGGGACTGCTGCTCCATCTTTGATGCTTTTGTGCGTCATGAGGATAAGGTATCCTCCTTGGGAGGTGTTGTCGTGTCTGCATGCAAATGCTGCGTCACAGTATGCTGTGAAGGTGACGTCTGCTCTTTCTCCCAGCTTTTGGAATTGCAAACTGGCATCCGAGTGTTGCTTTGCGAATCGAAGGATTTTGTTGGCCTCCTTCAGGGTGTTTGTGGTTGCTGTGGTAACCTGACCTGCCAGTTGAGAGATCATTGCCTGTAGGTGTGGGCTTGATTGGCCCGAAGGCCATTGTAGTGCTCCGATTGTTGCTCGCAAGTTGGTTCTTTCTTTCTCAGTCACTGGTCTGTCCTTGTTATCATCAGTGAAACTGATGGGTTTTTGCTTCGAAAGGTACTTGGTGTGTTCCAAAGTGTAGTGGTTGGGTGATATTTTGTTGATTTGTGCACCGCAATACTCGAAGGAAACTCCTTCCTCCCAGGTTCTGAAATTGAACCGTTCTTGAAGTTGTGTTTTGAAGTGCTGGTAGGTGGAATTGTTGATGTTGGCACAGCCGATGATGTCGTCAACGTGTAGGCCAAAAATGGCACAGAGTGGTGGTGATGTGTGTTGATTGCCCTTGCTGTCTGTGGTGGTGGTCCATTGTTCATACGGTGCTTTGTGGTCGTAAAGTAGATATAGACATGCGTCCAGTGGATGTTGTTGTGCACCTAGTGAAATCAAGCGTTCCTTGGCTTCTAGGAACCATGCTCGTGGGGCATCACACAACCCATACATAGGTTTCTTCAGTCGTAGAAGCTTTGAGCCATCGCTTGGTAGGCCCAACATTCTGTTTGCTTCGTTGCTGAGTCGTATCCACAGGGTTCTGCTTGCTTCGTGCTCTTTGCCTTGGAGGAAGGCTGTGGATATGTCTGCTGAGAATGTGAGCCAGCCGCTCATTGCTGCTATGACCAGGATGTAGTTGCGTGCTAAACGGCTGAATGTAGGAGACTCTGTTGTGAGAACACCTGCGAGGGCGTCGGGGTCGCGAAACCCCTGGGTGATCAGGCGTGCCTTGGCGCGTGGTGTGCCATCGGCATGTTTGCTCCACTTTAGGATGAAGTGGGCCTTCAAGACTCTTCCTTCTGGAGCACTGCTTTGGTCATCAATTTCCCACACATCATTTTGGAAGAAAGATGCCAATTCTGCTTTCTTTGCTTCGGCAAAGCTGAGTCGGTCTTCCAGGGTCATATTTTTCTCACTGAGTTGTTCTTTTCTTGCTTTGGCCTTGGCCTTTGTTTGTGGCTGACGTTTGTTCTTGCTGGTGTTGGTGCTGCTAGGCTCAATGTATGTGCTGTGGCCATTGCTTGCTGTGTAGAAGCAAGTTGCTGCTTGCTGCCGACTTGCCTGGAGGATTTTGAAACAGGTGCTACCTGTCCATGGCTGTGCTTCCTCCTGTTGCTGCTGGTGTGTGGTGTCACGCTTGTTGCGCCATCTGTCATGGCTTGTATATGCTGGGTACTTCGTGACCCGGTCTTTGCCTAGGTAGGCAAGTGGTATGGGGCAAGTGGCCTCATCTGGCTCATACTTGCTGGTTCGTGCCAAGTAGTGCTTCCTAATGAGCCATCCTTTCTTGAGTTGCCACTCGTCTTGAGTGTCACCGAGTTCAATGGTGCCATCGCTGATGATATGCCATCCAGGTGGGAGACTTTGGTTGGAGTCTGACAGTAGGTCGATGTTATCGTAGGTGTGGTATGTTTGCTCTGTGATGTCTTTCTCCTCAGGCTGCGTTGCTCTGTGGTAAGGTGTGCTGGTATTGTGTGGTCGTTCTTCTCTTGCAAAGGTCTCTCTGTTGGGGCCATAGGTGACCATGCCATGGTGTGGCTGGTAGAGAGACAATGTCTCTTGCCTGTCAACTCGTGCTCTGAGTTGTTCAAAGGTTTCGCCCGGCTGCCTGGGCTGGTAGAGTTGTTGTTGGTGCGCAGGTATGGCTGGTGTGTTTGCTGCTGGGAGTGTTGCCGCAGTGGTTGGTGGATCTGGCTCATGTTGTGGCTCTGTCGTCCCTGTTGAATCAGTTGGTGTTGGTGGAATTGCTGGTAGATCTGCGCTGTGATTGGGCTCATGGTCTGTTTCTATGGTCATATCCTCTGTTGTAGGAGTGTTCAGAACGGTTGGGAAATTGCTGGTAGTGGTTGGTGGTGTTGTGGTAGTGTGGGTAGAATTGTGGTTGCTTCGGACTGTGAAGGTGGTGGTGCCTGTCCAGTTGTAGGGCATCTCGCGGCCCGCAGTCTCTTCAGTCCAGTCATCTTGCATCACAAACCTCTGGGAGTGTGGCGGTGATCTCCTGATGGTTGTGAGTCTATCATTCCTGAATGTCAGGCATGGCACATTGGGGTCTTCAGTGGGCACAAATAGTTCACGTCGTGGTTGTACGTGAATTCGGATCCAAGTGATGCCGTCTTCGGAGACGTCCCAGTGATCCGCTGCGTCAACGATGGCCATTGGTTGATCTCCGTCGGGATCTGGTGGCGGTGCTTCTTGCTCAATGGCGTCCTCTTCCTCATCTTCGGTCACAACTTCTTCCCTTTTCCTTTTGTTGCTCTTGTTGAGGTCGTAGTAGAGTGTTGTGCTTCGGTTGCGCACTGCTTCGAGTGCTTGTTTTGCTTTGTGTGTGGTAGTGGTGGTGGGGTCATCGGTGGTGGTCGTGTGGGGTGTATTTGGTCGTAGGTGTTCTGCTGATGCTCTGAGAAGAGTTGTGCCGTGAACAAGCCAGTAGTTGTTTGTGGTTGGACCTGCCCGGCCTGGCTCGACCATCGTGATGATGGCTGGGCCCTTCCACCGGATTTTTGGTCCTGCACCTCCTGGCGCGTCACGCCAATAAAACACCTCTTGCCCTGTGTGGAAGATGTGCTGCTGTGCTTGGTGCTGTCGTAGGAGGGCTCGTCTGAGCCGGGCATCGTTGTCAGCCTTTGTGACGGCTGTAGCTGCTTGTTGTTTCAGGTGGAGCTTGTGGAGCATTTGCTCACTGGGGGTGAGTTGGGCAATGGTGAGGTCTTCATCCATCAGGTGGCCTGGTAGCTTTGGGACAAATCCAAATGTCCATTGTGTTGCTGAATATCCTTGTAAATTGGGTGTGTTGTTGATTTGAGGTATGACGTATGTGAGTGCCTGTGAGATGCTGTCTCTGGTGATTGGTGTTGCATTGTCTGCCAGGTATAATTCGACGGCTCGTCTCAGAACCTGATGTCGCCGCTCGAGTAGCCCCAGGCGGGCATGTGCTTGTCCTGGGTTGATGTTGGGGAAGACCCCGTGGTCAGATGCCCAATTGCGAAGGGCCTCGCTGGACCATCCTCTGTGGTCGTCGATTTGTAGGGTTGTAGGTGGTCCGAAGTGTCGGATCCAAGCTCGTTCGAGAGCTTGGATGAAGTCTGGAGTCTTTTCCGAATCGAGGACTCGTGCGGCCATCAACTTGGTGTTAGCATCCATGATGGCAAGGATTGGGATGGTCTTGTCCTGCTTGGTGTCTTGTTTGTTGTGGCTGTTGGTTGAAATCCAAAGTGTGTCTGCCAGTATGCGGTCGTTGAAGGTGGTGCCGTGTCGTAGCGTGCTCTTGGATAGTTGTGGTGGTGGTTTGTGGAGGTAGCATAGGTCGCAGTGGTGGTTTGCTGCTGCTTCAAGTAGCTTGTTGCTGGCATTGCGGCTCTTGAGGAGTCTTGTCAACTCCTTGTTTGTTGGATGTCCAAGGTTCCTGTGTAGTCGCTGTATGGTGCGCTCTGCTGCCTGCTTGTTGGTCTCGTCGAGACGTGTGAGAATGCCAGTGTTGTCTGTTGTGGGTGCTTGCTCTACTGGTACCATGCTGGCATCGGCTGATTCTGCCGGAGTGTTTTCTGCTGCTTCTGCTGGTCGCTCTGATGGAGCCTGTGATTGTGCTGCTGATGGCTCTGCTTCCTCGTCGCTGTTGCCTTGGTATGCACTCTCGGTGGTGACGTAGTGGTGGTGGAGAAACTCATCTATGAGCTGTGCCCATTGTCCACACATTACTGGGGCATAGACGCCCGCTGCTGCTGCTCCGGAACCAGTGCCAGGTGAGGTGCCTTCGATCGGAAGGTGATAGTGGTTGTCGCGACATGTCCAGTGGAAGGCTTGGGCCAGGCGCTGATCGGTGAATCTGAGAGTTGTTGGTCTCTTGATGAACTGTGGTTGCCCTTGGTGGTCTGGTAGTGTTGCGCCGTATTGGCACTGGTGGATGAGGGCATCATACCCGGGTGTTTGTTGGAAGGTTGTGGTTTCCCATGCTGCTGAGGGCTGTGGTTGCTCAATGGTGCCATGTCGCTTGCCTTGCTGTTGCTTGCGAAACACCTTGCTGGTGAATGCCAAATGTGTGTGTTCCTCGTAATCACGAGTGGCCTGTAGAAATTCTGCTTGTGCTGAGCTGCGGACTGCAAGTCGTTGAAGTGGAGACCACTTCTTGCATGGTGGTGCTAGCCAGACATAATCGGGCTGGACTTGGTAGTACAAGCGCATGAACTGCTGCCTGTGTTGTGAGGACGTGAAGTCCCAGCCATTTGCCCGATCAAATATCTGGACACTGTAGCCGCGCTGTTGCATAGCCTTGGCAAGGTTGCCACTGCCGGAGTAGACTTCCCAGAACTGGAGTTGCTTCCTATCGTGAGCTCTGAGGATGCTCTCAATTGCTGCTTGCCTTCTGTTCTCGGTGGTGGAGATGTTGTATTGGATGCTGTCAAGCATCTTGCTGGTGAGTGGTCTGCTGACCAGGTCGTGGTCGGTGTTGTATGGTGGTGTTGTTTGTTGATTGTCGTGGATAGTGGTGTTGTTGTTGTCGTGAGTGGTAGTGTTGTTCACAGTTACAACTGATGGTTGAGTGGTGGTTGTATCATCGTAGCAAGTCATGGCGACGTCTGGGGCGCTTCTGCCAGTTGTAGTGATGTAGTGGTTGAGGTCGTAGGTGTTATCGTCGTTGTGAGTTGAATGGTTGTTGAGGACCTCGTAGGTCTCAGTTGTCACAAGGTCGTAATGGTAGTCAGTGGTGGAAGGTTCTGTTGTCTGTAGGTCGTCAAGTTGTAGTAGGTGCTCCTGTCGCTTGCCAAGTGGTATCTTTTGCCAGTTTATGCCATCTGTGGAATAGGTGTCAGTCGTGTAGTCGACCTTGAGCTGGAGAGCTTTCAAAATTGGTCTGCCGACCAGAAGTGGTGTGGCGCCCTCCACGATGAAGCATTGGATTCGCCCAGCTATGCCGTTGATGAAGGTTGGCATGTGCACAGACCAGGCTGAGTGCATCTCGGTGTCGCCGCCAAAGTGGAAGAGCTTGTCGGCCGCTCGAAACCTGAAATGCTCCACTGGGACACCAAGGTTGTGAACATGTTGCAGGTAGGCCATCAAGGTGTGGTGGCCAGCTACCATGGTGCTTGCTCCTCCATCCTGAGTCGCGTAGTAGTGGAGGTCAGGTGTGGTAGTGTTGATGTAGGTGCTGGTGCTGTCGTCATGGATCATGAAGGCAGAGTGGCTGGTGGTTCTGGTCTTTTTGGCTGGTGAATTGTTGCCTGAGTTGTTGGGTCGAGTTGCGCGTTGTGGGCAGTCGGCTGCATAGTGGCCAGGTTGGTTGCAACGAAGACAAACTACGTTGTTGTCGCCACCAAGTGCTGCTCGTCCTCGAGACTTCGCATCGCCTTTCTGTGGTGGTGATGCATTCTTTCCTCCTCCTTTGCCCTTTCCTTTGTTCTTGCCCTTCTTGCCGCCCTTGTTGTTGGGAGGGAAAGGACGTTGCTGGGAGGATGAGCTGGTGGTTGTCTCAGGACCTAGAGCCACCACGGGCCAAAAGCCACGATTGGCTTTGATTTCTGCAAATCTTCGTCGTGCGTCCAAGTAGGTCGCATATGCTTCCTCGGCCTCAGGGTCGTTGTTTTCTGGCAGATCATAGTCTGGGTAGTAGTCCTCGGCCGCCGTCATGCCGTCTTCATGTTCATAGGCGTCCTCAAACTCAAGGACGTCGTTGGACTCAAACACCTCGTCATACTGTGTGTCATCAGCATCATCGCCGTAGAAATCGGCAGTCTCATAGTATGCCTCATCAGCGAAGTCTTCGTCAGCGACATAGGCAGTCTGCCGTCTTGTCCATTGGGATGATCTGTGTGTTCCTTTTCCACGCTGGTCAAAAGTTGTTCTTCCTCGGTAGTCTTGGCCGAGGAGGTAGTAGAGGGCTTCCTCAACTGCGTTCTCAGTCATTCTGCTATCGCCAATCTTTGTCAGCACGAGTTGTCGCTGCTCCTGGGTCAGATTGGCTCGCTTCAGAAGTGTGTACGCTCTGATCTCCTCTGGGATGACAATGCCATGCTTCTCAATCTCCTGTCTCGCGTCACGGAATTCCGTGGCAAAGGACATCAAGGTTTGCTCTGGCCTTCGGGTCAACTGGTAGAAGAAGCGGTCAATGGCCTTCGGGCACTCCACGCGGTCATTGTACTTGAAACTCCTGTCAAGTAGTGCGATGGTATCATCAAAGCCACTCTCAGACTCAATCAACTTCTCCGCATCACGCTCAACAAGCTTCCAGGCTGCTCCCGTCAGGGAGGTGAGCAGATTGATCACTGCTTCCTTGGGTTTCTTTTGTAGCTTCATCTTCATCTTGTAGAGCAAGACACGGGCTCGATACTCCCTGTAGTCAGCTGGTCGATTGCTGAAAATTGGGATGTAGTTGTCCTTCAAAGTGTCAGGGCTGACTGTCTCCTGCTTAGAGCCAGACATCTTCGGCGGCCCCTTCACGGGGCTCCGCCTACCAATTTGAGGATGGTTGCAAACAAAGGTTGATCCTCGCCTGAGTCCCGCTCGAAGTGAACCAGGTCAAAGTAGAAAGTGCAAAGCCGCGGCGCAGTTGTTTATGCGCCAGTGCATAGCCATCAAGGTGAAAACCGGTCCCTCCCTATCAATTGGGATTGGGCCGATACAAAAGGAAGGTGAAGCTGGCACCTGAACAAGTTGCGTGGAGCGAAACTCACAGAGTGCAAGTGCAGAAGTGGTTGCTAGTTTTGAAACACTGGTTTTGAAGGATTTTGAAGGCATCATGCAAATGAAGAATGCAGACTTCCTTCATTGCGCCAGGATCTGGGAGCTGCAAATAATCTTGCTGGCATTGCGTGGGTGCTGGTTAGAGTCATCTTGGTCTGGTTTTGGGAGTGCCAAATCGCTGCGCTTGTCAAATGTCCCTGAAGAAATTCAACATTGTTTAATATTGTTTAATGGTTTTGGTTCAGACAGGGCAAATTACATTGTCCCCAGGTGTCCAAACGGCATCCTAGCGTCGGGTTTGGCCGACAACGGGTCATGGAAGTCATTCACAAACGCATCTTGCCACAACGGAAAGCACGCTTACGCACCGCATCGCACTGCTATAGTTTTGCCGTGCCACAGATGTGTTGCTGTGCGAAATGACTTTTGGCGATGGAGCCGAGTAGCGAAAGCTTTATGGAGCTTTATGGAGCTTTATGGAGCTTTATGGAGCTTTCTTGACAAGGCGTTGCGCACTTCCAACGTTGTGATCCCACGTGATTGTTTTCGAGTGGCTTGTGCCTCTGTGTTGACACAATCCGAATCCGAAACCTTCACCGCGAAGAACCTCAACAACCTCAACACATCGCAATACCTACACCGTAGCCACCGTAGCCACCGTCGCCTACACCTATCACCTATCCCGCAGCCACCATAGCCTCTGCCATGGGACAAATCAAGGCCTGCCAGGAACAGGATCCGGCAAGTGATGCATGTGATTGCATGTGTGGGTTTTTTGAGCTAAGCTCTTAGCCACTGAGGAAGTCATGAAACTACACAGAATGACAAGAGAAATTTATATGCATAAAAATCATAGAAATCCAGAAGTCAAAGGCTTTGGAGTCTTTTTGCTACAATCTGTGCCTCGCAAAGAAGCTGTCTCCTGCGGCTTTTGAGGATGAACCTGGAATATGTGTTCCGATTGACGATAACCCCCTTGCCAAGGGAATCCAAGGGACAGGTCCTGTCATGTTTTTTCGTAAATTGTGGCAGTAGCACACATGCCTGAGCTATTGGATTAGACAACCCAGAATCTATGTTGCTCAATATTATGCATAGTCTCGCTATTCCTCTCCTTACTCTGAGGGAGGCACTGGTTGCTCATGACGCCTTCTTGATTGAAGCGGACCTGCAGTCATCTGCAGTCTACCAGTTGTTCGGTTTCTTGGAATCTCCTCCCGTGCAGGGTCGTCAGCCCTGCCTTCAATCCTCGAGATTCTTTGGCTGCTTTGAGGCATCCACCAAGCACGCTGCTCAGCAAATAACTGCCCAAGGAAATGCGAGGTCGCATCGAAAACCACTCTATCAAAAAGGCGTTGGTTCTCTTAGGGAACTAGTCTTTCACATTTTGCCCACTAAACGTCAAGCCTGTCATGACAGGTGAAATGCCGTCGACTTGCATTCACCCCATAGATTGAGGACTAGCTGTCTAGCTAGGGTTACTGAGTCAACCAGCAAAACAGAAGTGGCTGGATCAAACAAGTACAAAAATCCCGAGTGAAGTATCCTGTCATTTCCTGTCAAAATCGATCCAGCTCAGAATGTCCTACACCTTTGTCCGCACCAAAACCAGGTGACAAAAGCCCAAGGCCCAGGACAGGCCGCAGATTGCAGCAGTCTTTTTCTCGCAATGTTGAAATGCGCCCGCTCTGAAGTCGAGCGTTGCGCACGGTCTATGTCTATGTGCTGTTCCTTTTCTTTTGCAAAGCACGGAAAGCAATCCTGAAAACAAATATGAAAACCATGAAAAAATCAAGACTTTTCAAATGCAGCAGCTATTGCAAAGGAAAGGAATCGGCAGTACCAGAATCCCTGGCCTGTTCCTGCTCAGGAAAACACGCTTCCGCCCTTGGCAGATCAAATTATCGTTAAGTTCATGTGCAACGTGATGTCGCTGAGCCTTTGTCTTTTCGGCCCGTGACTTCTCGACATGTGGCACAAATTCATGGTCCAATGCTTCCAGGCATCGTCAGCAAACTACAGTCAGAGTGCAAGCAAAATCGGCATAACAATGCATAACAGTACAGCTGGATCCACATCTTTCCTAAACAAGGTATCGAAGCACTCAAACATAAACTCAGATTTGAAACAAGTTATCCCTTGTTTATCAGGTTTATAATCAGCTTGTTTTACTTGTGGTCTTGCCTCTGGTCCCACCCAAACTGCGCAGTGAAACGCCTCAGGTTAGGGCGAGGCTCACAGCCTAGCCCGCCTTAGAGCTCTGCCTGATGCCGAACTCAGGGAGCGCAAAGAAGAGAGAGAGAGAGAGAGACTGAGACCGAAAAAATGAGACCAAAGTGATCAAACTTATGGTTTTTATATGTTGTTATAATACTTTATAACAGAGTTCGACTGTGTTCAATGTCCATTCTAGTTGTGGATGCTCAACACGGTTGTATGTTGATGAGGTTGGACACATGATATATCTGAAAAAAAAAAACACCAAAAGTCAACTCGTGCATTCAAATGCTCCCTTGTGACTGGCACCCAAGGTGACACACCTGCCAATCTGGTGATGTCAAGTTAAATTCATCTAAAATGACAACAAATTCGACATGTGGGCAACGGTATGCAACGGTTGTGTAACCACTCCGCCTTCTTGCCGGCTGCAGCCTCGCGCTGCGCCCATCCTGGAAGTTTTTGGCCTTTGACCATGGTGAATCTTGCATCTCCACCTCAGTTCACCGCCAAATTCGCAAGAAAAGGAATCAAACCAAGTTTGGTTCGTCTGAAAATATGGTATCCATGGGTATCCTATTCCATCCCATGTTTCATCATTTTCCCCATCAAAATTGCCATAGAATGTGGTTTGTAGGCTTTTCATGCCAATCATTCAGGTCTTCCCCATTGAAATGGCTAACTTAGCCGCACTAACTGTGGTTTTCCATTAACTTGCCACAATTGAGTTTTCCATAGTTTTCCTCATGCAATGTGTTTTTACGGTGGTAAGATCTCCATGTTTGGAGAAATCCCATGGTCAGCCACCGAGTGCAGCTCAGTGACCAAGGACTTTGTCCAGGAGCTTTGTGATGCCCTGTTCATCACCCTTCACCTTGCACGATGCATAAAATCCATAAGAGCTCAGCGACTCTGATGGATATATACAGACATATACAGTACATGTTATCTATATAGTGTGTATATGTATATATATATATGTATATTATATAGTATGTATATATATATGCAGTATGTGTGTGTGTAGTGTGTATACATATGGTGTATAGGTTGTGTTTATATGTGTATGTATACATCAGCAGGGATCACCACACACACCCCACCCCCCAGCCAGATGGTTCCCTCCCCGTGGCTTTGGAGGGGGCCCAGCAGTTCAACAACGGTCCTACATGGGCTGTAAGTGTAAGTATTTGTGCAGCTGTAAGTGGTTGATGTCCAGTTTATAGGGAGTATATGGAGAGTATTTAGGGAGTTTACGGGGAGTATATTATTACGTATTATAGTATATGGGCACGCAATGAGTCGTATATAGGTACACCATGAAACATGTGTAGGTAGTAAATGTAGGGTGTATGGAGCATATAGGTAGTGATGAAGCAATGTACATATTACGCACAAGCATGAAACGTTAGGTGGGTATCTATACTTAGGTAGTATATTTGTAGGTACATACTGCATCCGAGCATATATAGGATTACAAGTATGCATAGGTACGCTATGTATGGTATACATAAGTGGTAAACCATGTGTGATGTAGTTATAGGCATTGCATAAACAGGTTTTGGGTACAGTAGTATGTGAGGTCGTGGCTTTCAAATGCTGCAAATAGCATCAAATAGCATGCAAACGCAAGGTTTGGTGGGATGGAGTGGGGGGGTCCATACCATTTAAGGCGAGGGAGGAGGGGTGTGTGGGTACCGGGGCTGGACTCACATATACATATACATATGTATATATATATATATGTGTGTGTGTTTATACATATATATATACATATATGTGTATACATATATATATATATAATGTATATAATATATAATGTATATAATATATAATGTATATAATCATATAGATATAGATATAGATATAGATATAGATATAGATATAATATATATATATGTATATATATAGATATAGATATAGATATAGATATAGATATAGATGTGGATATAGATATAGATATGGATAAGATAGATAGGTAGGTAGCTAGCTAGATAGACAGATAGATATACATGTATATAGAGACGATCTAGAGCACGATTTTTGGCACGAAGGAGAGGGCCAAAAAGCACGATCTAGAGCACGATTTTTGGCACGAGGGAGAGCACCAAAAAGCACGATTTTTGGCACGAGGGACAACAACAAAAAGCACGGTCTTGTGCACGAAGGAGAGCACCAAAAAACACGATCCAGAGCACGATGTTTGGATAAAGGAGAGCAATGCACTAAGGAGAGCACCAAAAAGCACGATCTTGTGCACGAAGGAGTGTGCCCAAAAGCACGATCTCGAGCACGATTTTTGGCACGAGGGAAAGCACCAAAAAGCACGATTCTTGGCACGAGGGAGAGGACCAAAAAGCACGATTTTTTGCACGAGGGAGAGCACCAAAAAGCACGATCTAGAGCACCATTTTTTGCACGAGGGGAAGCACCGAAAAGCACGATTTTGTGCACGAAGCAAAACCCTCAGAACAACATTTGCCCGAAATATAAAGAAATCCTTTTTTTGACTGTTACAGCTATTAGGACTGACGCAAGAGATACAGAAATAGATATAGATATAGATACAAATATAGATATAGAGATACATATAGATTTAGATATTGCATATTAGATATTAGATATTAGATATAGATTTAGATATTCGATACTAGGGATTAGATATTAGATACACACATATTATAGATATAGATATATATATATATATAGATTTAAATATTAGATATTAGGTACTAGGTATTAGGTATTAGATATAGATATTATAGATATGTAATGATATGTATAATATATATATAATTATATAATATAGATACATAGTGTGCAGATATACAAAGATTGTGTTGTTTGTCTTGAGTTGAACTCACCGCCTCGCCATCTTCACCATGGTCCATGAGAGTGAAGCGGAGTCTGGAGGGCAGAGGGCGCGAAGCCAGGTTTGCTGAGTGGGTCTGGAAGGGGTCCTAACAGAATAGGAATAAACATGGTAAACATCGTAAACATACACATTCCTCAGCAAAATTGAGTTCTCTTCCAAAATCCATTTCAGTCGCAGACTTTTCAGATTTGCTGCACAGCAACAGACCAACATGGTCCCGTCGCACCTCTTGTGAGGGTTGAAGACAGCAGCCGATGGAAGCTGCGCAGCTCCAAAGAGATCCTGGAACATGCAGGAACTGCATCTCCAGCCATGGGAAAAACTGCAACATATCAATGTCAAGTATGACAAATCGTGCCTTATTATGTGTACTATATATGTAAATACTATACATGAATATACAATACGTCATATGTATAATTTATGTATTGTATGATTATAATTGTTCGTCATCATACATAACTGTAGACAGTCTATACATGTCCTTGTATGCGGACTCAATGGCCAAATTCATCCACATCCTCAGTTTTGGAGGAGTTTCAACGTCAAAATCAAGAGTAGAACCAGGTAGCAGGTAGATTAAAGTTGATGAAAGTTGATGAAAGTAGGTATGCTGGGAAGTACCCTTTGCCATGGGCCGGAGCTGCAAGGGTCTGGCGAGTGGTGTACGCGGTGTTTCAAGAACTGGCTACAAATGCTGCGTCTTCCATTGTCTTCTTGCCTCATTACTTCCTCATTCAAGGCCAAGCTGCCACTTCATCTTCGCACCACGGTCGGACAGCTGGGAGGTGTACTTCTTAGACAAACCTGGACCGAGACCATCTTGGTGCTCTGGATTGGTATTTGGTTTATCTTGATTTGCAACTTGAAAATTCAAGAGAAGCAAAGTGAGCCTGTGAGCATGTCAATCTCAGCTGGCGTTGCTTCACCATCCTGATCGAATGTCGGGGTCCCCAGGGAAGCTAAACTGCCATGGGTTTGCTCTGGTGCTCTCCTTGAGGTAGATGACACACAAGCCCTCGCCCTTGAAGCAAACATCCTGCGCTTGTCAATAGATCTGGCGTATTCTGGAACTCTAAGAATTCTACAGGAGTACTCGGTACTATCTCAGTACTATCTCAGTATCTCAGTCACATGTTCAAATTGTTCAACGACATGTTCCCTTCGATTCCGGTGACAAAGGTCTTGGGAGGCCAACGATACCGAGTAACGCCACGGCACCTGATGGGACTTGGCAGTCAGCTCTGGAACCTCCGGGCGCGCCGCGGTCTGACATGACCAAAAATACTGCTGCATGTACCAAACGATCACCAAAAATACCAGCAGTATCCAGAAGTGGCATCTCTTAAACAATTGTATCACCAATCCACGAGGATAGAAAAATGAAGAAACAGTTCAACATCGATCAACTGGGTCACACACCTCCTGCACCAACCAGGGCTTTGCCTCCTGGCTGAAGGGAAGCCATATGTGCTTCATTGACTGTAGCTGTGCAAGAGTGCTGTTTTGTCTCATTTCTCAATATATATATATATTAGATATATATATATTATATATATTATATATATTATATATATAAATCATGTAAATTCAAATTATATTCAGATTATATATATATATATATATTATGTACAAAAATGTACAAAATATATCAAAATATAATTTCGTATAATTTCGATAGTCTATTGAGTATTGACTTCGCATGACCTATTTGAAAAATTTCTCCCGAGGCCAGAGAGGCCAGTGCCTCGACACTCTCCTCCTTTGCACCGCCAGCGCTTGAGACCTTGTCACCTGACAAAATCATTGAAACATTGACAAAATCGTGACAAAATCGTGACAATGTTTCAACAAAACTCAATTCTCACATATTCTTGAAACATCTTGAAACATTGTGAGATGCGAGGAGATTTCTGTTGACAAACAGAAACATGTTGAAACATGTTGAAACGTGTTGAAACATGTTGAAACTGTCTCTTGTTGTCACTCATGCACAATGAAAGTGCCGCTTGTCGCCGGAGGCTTCCGGTTTCAGGTCTTTTCAGGTCAAAGTTCAGCCTGAGTCCAGCACCCATGCCAGACTCAGAGTGCAGGTTCACCCAGTCTTTGAGCGGCAGGAACTTCAACTCACCTGTGTAGGTGTCCTTCGCTGAAGAGAGACTCAAACTAAGAAAAACTAAACAATGCTAAATGCCCGATGCGCAAAATGTTTGCGGGATATCAATTACTTCTATAGTTTCTAGTATTGTATTCTTTTACTGTGACATCCAATCTCCGGACCTTCTTCTCTCCTTTTGCGCCTTGCTGGATAATCACCTCATCTTAGAGCATCTGCACTAAAATTATGAAGACTTTTGGCGATGACCTACTTTATCCAAAATCAGGATCTGGCAGTAGGAAACTTCTTGACCTGGCACACTCCACAAACTCAACCAACTCCACTTTGGCGCAGGTTGTAATGACAAAGTTGATACAAAATTAATGCACTTTGGGTGCCACTGTGGATACCTTGTAGCGTTGAACGATGTCGCTCATGTCTTCCGTCACAAAGCCAAACTTCACAGTGCGCTTGAAGACCTGATGCCATTTCATGAAAACTGCATGTAAGCTGAAACCATCTGACTCTGTACAAACCGCATACAATCTTCCTTAGATCTGTCCGATCAGCACCTGTCCAGCCCACCGCAAACTTTCTGGTCTTGCTGCCAAGGCGCTGTTTCTGAGGACAGAGCCTGCACAAAGCATCAAGCATCGCCAACAGGTGTACTGATGCCCTCTATTGGCCTCTCACTGGAAACCAAACCTTTTCCACTGTTCCACTCTTTCCCACTTGTTCGACGTTCCTTTTGGGATTGGGAGTGAATCCGACAGCCACCTTCCAAATGAGGGGCACCGACTTCTTGTTCGAGAAAAGGAGAGCCTGTTGCCCAAAAAAAAACAATAGACTCAATAGACTCAATAGACTCAGCGTGTCTGTTTGTGTGCCAAGAAAATGGGACTTTACTTGCCTTGGGCTTGGTGACGTCTGTTGTCAAGAACTTGTCCACATTGTCCTCAAAACATCTCGAAACTACAAGTTTTCAAACTTTCAGCAAAACTGTTTGTGCTATCTTTGTGCTTGCTGGCGGCGAAAAATGGTTCATCTTGCTGTGCAAAAAGGGACATGACATAGTGATCCATAGTGTCCTTTGTGATCTTTTCTGTCTGATCTGGCATAAACTTCGCAAGTTTGTTGAAGACAGCCTGGAAATAGCAGATGGCAAAAGCTGGCAGGATCTGGCAACAGACTGACTCTTCCCCATCTGCCAAGCTCTGCCAGAGCTCTGCCAAGCCTTGCCCTCTAACTTGCCCTCGAGTTTGAAGGCAGGCACTGGATTGGGAGGGTAGATCATGACAGTTGGAGTCTCCTGACAGAGATGCCACTGCATCACTGCCACTAGGGCGTATCTCACTCCGAGTAACCAGCCTTCACGCCCTGCTTCTCGCAGAAGACAGAGTACCTGTGGTCGACACTGAGAGATGCACGGGACATTTTGGATATGTTATGAATTGTTGATGTGTTTGGATGTCATTGGTTGGATCTTCTTGGCTCAAGGTCTGGAGGGTCACTCGTTGCAATTGATCGCACAAACCTTTGCCATGCCCTTCATTTCGCCAGCGACCTTGAGCGTACGTAAATGTATGCAACAAGCTGGAAACGTTTCAATAACATTGTACTTTCCAAGTTCTACCTCACATAGCACACAGGAAAACTCAAAATAGCCGGCCTTGTTGTACTCGTCCAGGAACTTTTCATCATCCTTGTTCTCATCCTTGAAGAACCACAAACCTGAATGGATGATAATGGATGGACGTGTTTGATGACTATGTGGTTGAAGGTGACGAAATCACTGTGTCAATTCTGTCCCAAACCCTTCCAATTTTTCCAAACCCATTATATATATATATAATATCCATTAGCTACATGCTGCTTCAGACAAGGTACTAGCAACGGAACTATCTCTAAACTTGGAGATGATGCCATCGAAAGTCGATGCCTCCAGGACGTGTTGACGTCCCAAAACACTGGCCAGAAATGGAATGAATTGAATTGAATTGACATGTTGACACATCATGTTGACACACGTTGATCATCTTCTGCATATCATCATTGAAAAAATTGTAGTCCCCCTGTAGTGAACCTGCCAAAAAATAAAAGCACCAAAGCCTGAATCTGCATGATGTCATGTTCCATCGCCTGGTGCCAGGTGAAGGAACACAAAGTTGTTTTTCCAATTGTTGTTGTCCAATGTTTTCCAGAGGGTTCACATTCTGATCCCGTAATGTATCACAATGTCAGTGACAATGTCCTTGCCTCTATCACAACTTTGGCCGTTGCGGGGCTCGCGGCCAGCGCCGACAGCAAAAACCACCGCATTGCCTTGTTAACGAATTGAGTGACACAAGGGGTGTGTCAGCGGGGTGTCCGAAAGCTCTTTGGACATGTCATGAAATGGCAAATACCTTCAACCTGAATGATTGAATTGTTCTGTTGCTGCACTGTCGCAAGATGTTTTTCACTGAGGTTTCGGCTCCCATCCAAAACAAGAAATACCAGGGACCAGGGTCTGAAAAATGCAAGCCTGGCGCCTGTGAACCAGGCTCTGAGCCAAAATCACGGTTGAACACACGCACGAATTTCCAATGGACTGAGACCATCGCAGGAAATGTTTTGCCTGCACGCAATGAATGACGACAGTTCTGTACTACTGCCAGCGCCTGTGCGTGATTTGACCAGCCTTTGGAGATCATATGGAAAGAGAATGGCAGAAATGTCACAAATCACAAGATTCCACAAATTTGGGTGAAGTTGGTCTGAGTTTGCTCGCCACGGCTGCATGTTCAGCCAATTCGACATCTTCAAGGCTGCTTTGTGAGAGTTCCACCTTTCATTGGTGAATTGATGTCCCGCCCTGCCCCCCCCCGAACAAAAAGATCAAGAAGGCTTTGGGCACTTTCAAAAACATTCAAAAACTACATGTTTCATCAAATTTCCAAGTTCATGCATGATATTTCATGTTTTTTTTGGTGCCATGATGATCATGACCTTTTGGTACCATGATGTGTGTGTGTGTTTGTTGCACGAATGGCTTACAATCCATAGGCCTCCGCATCGCTTCCTATGGTGCTTGCTCGCAATGTCACAATGGGAGCATCCGGTGCCTCAGCTTCACTAGCTGCGCATCGTCACAAGCGAAGTTAATGTGTGCGCCAAGACACAGTGGCTGGACGAAATGTCACCTTCAAGACCTTGGATCGTAGGGTCATGGGTTATCTATGGTTATCTCGCATCATCCAGCTGCTCCAGGTGCGGTGTGCCGCCATTTTGGCATTGAGGAGGCAGCCACATCAGGAGCTTCAAGCTCATGGAATTCACTCAAGGCAGCATGCCATATCTGGCAGTGTTGATAGTGCCAATCAAAAATCACTGAAACTCCTCCAGCACAGGAAGGGGCTCCCGTGGACCACATGAATTGCTCAGCAAAAAAGCGCGAAAACATGCGAAAACACTCAATGCTGCCTCAGGCTGCTTCGCTCGAAAAATGCTGAGCCTTGTGAGGCTCAGTGCCATAACTCTGCCATGTCAACAACAATCAAATCTTGTTCAAATATCAACATAGCTGACGCCTTTCATTTTCCGCTCGGAAGGTGGCAATTGGCACTGGAGCCTGGCGTTGGCACCGAATCAAATCCAGATGAATCTTGTCGCTGCCAGTTGCAAAGGAGGTGTTTTTCAAGGTATTTGCACCACTAAGTGTTGTGAACGGAGGAAAATCCTGAAGCGCTTTCCACCGGATTTTGCCTCATCCAGCAGTAGGGTTCTCAATCGACATTCAGTGGTGGCGCCATCCTCCTGGTGATCGGAAAGGATGCCCCACTCCGTTCACATCGTTTCACTATCGATATGATGCAAGGAGACCAGGGTGATAATATTAATTTAATGTTGATTTCATATTAGGATGATAGGATTAATGACACTGACACTGACTGTGCATGAAACCCGGCCTCTAACGTGAAGCGCAGCTCGTGTGCTCCAGCTGGGAACCTCTCAGTGCAGCCCTCGTCTTCTTGCTACATCTTGCTTCATTGTATTGTCGTTTTACAGGATCCAAAGGGTTCATGGAAGGCAGCTGAAGCACGCTTTTCAGCAACTTTGGCAGTTTTGCGACCTGCTCCACACGCTTGGGTTTTCCCCAAAAAGGCTTCGTTGAGCCACGTGCTGGCAGTGGCCTACTTAGGCCTACTTTTCTGGCCTACTTTTCTGTTTTGCTGCTGCATCACAACCAGCCAAAAAGACTACAACGGCAAGGTCATGGCCGGTATTACCTTAGAGACTTCTGGGCTACTGTCAAGGAAAGTTCACCAAAACAGGGGAAAATTCATGCATGGCATCATAGGTTAAACGGCTTTGATCCAAAGCTCTTGCGCAGTGCTGCTGGTGAATCTGGTTTCAGCCCAGCCACATTGTCTGAGTCTGCATGAGGTCTTGGCAAATCCACTGTGTTCCCCATCAAGGCAATCCACCATGAAGGCCTCACAAGCCAAAGAAAGATAAAGAAAGTATCGAAACGGCCGGCCCAGACTTGAAGCCAAGCCGCTGTAAGAGTCACTTCAACCAATGAAAAAAACGGAGAAACCAAATGTTTTTTGAAGATTTCATTGAAAGTGGGAATCATATTGAAAGCATGCAGGAAACAAACATATACATCACATATACATCACATATACATCACATATACATCACATATACACATATATATATATACATCACATATACATCACATATACATCACATATACATCATATATACATCATATACCTCCAAAAAAAGAAGTCAAATATGATCCAACAATGATCCAAACAACGGTCGAAATATTGGACTGGCGGCCTCAGAGCTCCAGCTGGAAGTACTTCTACCGTGGCCGATCCACCAGGACCACCGAGCGTACACAACGCTTCCACGTCCAAATCGAAAGTTGGCAAAAAGAGTGGGTTATATCCTGAACTCATTGAGAATATTGAGATAAATTGAGATATATTGAGATATATTGAGATATATTGAGATATATTGAGATATATTGAGATTACGAGATTGAGAATCAATATGTCATTGAAACAAAAATGAAACTGATTGACACTGATTGACAGATTAGGCATTGTTGTCTGATTGAAAATGATTCCAACATATTCCAACACTATTAACACGGCTAGCTCGGCCACAGTCCTGCTCCTCTCATGCTGTTCTGCAGCACGATGCCGTGCTTCAGGTCTTGCTGCAAGCAGTCCTCCAACCTCCACCTCCTCAAAAAGGGCCTGTGCTGAACAAAGTGCGCCGCAGCCACTGGAAGCGTCGGCTTCGACTCCTTCTCTATTTTCTCCAACTCCTTGGCCACAAGAAATTTCAAAGTTCTAAGATGTTCTAAGGTCTCTGCAAGTTGGGGCAGCAGTTGAAAGCTCGTAAGTCTTCCTCCAAAAGAAAATGCCACTTTTGAAAGCTAGGTACGCCAGCAACCTGTTGTGAGTCTTTGCCGCTTTCATCCTCGTCATTGGCTTCGCCCTCATCACATTCATCTTCTGCAAATACACCGTATGGCTTGGTGAATGTTGCATCCACCGCCACCCGCATTTCCTTGAGGTGGGGCTCCAAAACAACGATCAGGAAGCAGTCAAAAAAGCCTCCTGGAGGCCACTCCAACGGAAGATCACACTCTCCAAGCGCCGACTCCATTTGATCAGGTCGAAATCTCGCAACTTCGGTGAGAGTACCAAGCATCTTTTCGTTTTTGGTCTTGAATGTTACTCCCTGATCTTCGTCCCCAAGCATGCTCTGCGCAGGATTTGTGAATATGCCTGTTGAGATCTGGAAGGCATCTGCAAACTTGCGGCTTACTGCCTTTGTAAGGATTGGAGTTGAGGCAACCCTGCTTGAAGAGGGCAACGGTCGCCTCACGAGAACTCTGAACCTGAGAGCATTCGCACAAGTCTATTAAATGCATGGCCAGAAGATGCCAGAAATGGTTGCAAATTGATGGGAACAGAAAAAGAGGAAAGTCAGTAGCAGCCAGTATGTGGATGCATGATGATGCATGATGATGCATGATGATGCATGATGATGCATGTTTCAGGTTTCTGGCGTGCTCAAGCATCAAAGGCACAAGAACTCATGGCGTCCAGCAGAAATCTGCCGGATTGCAGTCAGTCGAGCCAACCGGCCTTAGAAACTTTAGAAGGCGAGTCCCTCAAGGTGATGGCACTCTCAAAGGTTCACAGGATTGCGGTGGGAAAAGTCACTTTCCGAAAGGTGATTGCTATGATTCCTTCTCCAATCTTCTCCATGTCTCTGAGGAGATGCCGAGTTGGATAATTTGTTCGAACAATATCGAACATGTGTTATCTCGCTTGCACCCCATCTGCAGAAGGTAGGGGGAACTTTCACTTGAAACCCGGCAACACGCTGCCTGTATCAAGTGTGGCAAGTGTAGAAAAAATAGAACAGACATGAACAAACTATGTAACTATATCATATCATATAATATAATATAATATAAATTAATATAATATAAATTCATATAATGCAAACACGTGGCCGTTGTTTGAAAACAACGCCTCCATCTCTTGCGCGTTCATATCCTCTGACGGACTCGAGGCCTTCGACCTGACCTCCTCAGCCTGAGCATCAGGCACCTGAGACGCCTCTGCCGCCTCTGCCGCGTCTGTTGCCTCACCCTCCGCAGTTGCCTTAGGCGATGCCTCAGCGGTTGCTTCGGGATCTTCAGCTTAAGCCTCGGATGATGACGATGACGAAGATGGTGCTTTTTGAAGCTCGAATAACCTCAGAATGTCAGAGCCAACAAAGCCAGCCAACCTGCAGTTCGTCTTACTTGGTAACCTGCTGCAGCTGGATGTCATGTGCTCTGCAAGAATTTCGAGGAAGTGAAAAATTGCTTGAACGAATCTCACAAGAAAGGGAGCCATATGAGCCACATAACTACTCAAAAAAAACGAATCGCTGAATTCAGAATAGTCAACATGCTTGCAGGTGAGTGGCTGGTTCCCTTCAAAAAACAGTCCAGAAGACCTGCACCAGTCACACCGCATCATTAAAAGTCTGGACACATCTCGCGGCCATCGAACAACAACTCAACGCTAAGAAACAGGTAGGCCTGCGACGCCCTGTCCGCATGTTGTTGCCAAGATCAGGGTCTAATTTTGGCGGCTCGCCTTTGGCAAGGTCAACAAAGATCAACAAAGTAGTCTTCTTGAATTCCGGTCCTGATCTTTGGATGATTGCTGGGAATCCTGTCACAACCACGGCTTTGCTTTACCATGTTCAGTACCCTTCTACACTGCTTGGCATGGCCTCGACATTGTAGAGTTGTGCGGCCATTAAAGATCGCTTTGGAAAAGAATTCCCAAGGGTGATTGGGCAAAGCCAACTCAGCATGAAAGCAACGTCTTCTACTCATCCAGGAACAAGTTGGTGGAATGTAAGCAACAAGCTTTCCAGCAAGCCTCAGCTCCGCAACTGGCAAGAGTTTGCAGGGATTGACAACTTCACTTCAAAGGGCGATTCAAAGTTCATTGTATGTCAGAAACCCTTGGAAAACCCTATGCAAGCCCACTTTTCCCACATTTTCTAAATGATCCCCGGAAAGTCTGAAAGCAGCGCGGCCATGAACTCTTGACTGTTGGATCTGCCTGTGATAAACCCTGTGCTTGGGGGGAAGACATGTTCATTAATTACACTACTAAGCTTTCACCGTTCAACTCCGTTGGTACTGTATAGAATAATTAGAACATACATAATATGTCCACCGTTTTCCGCCTAAGTTTCAACACCGTGCCGTTTTACCCCTGCACCGAGGCCACGGCTTTTTTGCAGCTCTCAGTTCTTCTGACACCTCCATACTTCCCTCGTCTTTTTGGTTCTCTCCATCCCTTCGCATCGCTGTGATCATGGTGCTCGTGTTGTATTGGATGCCAAAGCGGCCATCTATAGCATCACAAAGGGACCGGGTGCCTCGTCAAATCGGCGATTCGCGAATGTTTGGAATTGTTTCAAATGAGATTCTCTGTAGCAAGGATGTGGTCTTGCTCCCAAACAGCTTTGCTTCCCAGATTGTTTGAATTTGTTCGAGGAGCCTTGCAAAAAGGCATCTTTTGCAGATTGTGCATCCAGTTGCACCGATTGTGTCCGCCATTCTGTGGTCTCAGGCGAGATTGGTACAGAAGATCCGTGAGCGACTTTGGCCTGAGTTCTGTGGGTGGAACCCAGGTGCCCGTGTGCATCTGTAGGACAGGGGAACCACATCGTATCCCACTGGCATGGCATCGGTTTCTCCAATGGTTAAAGGGCTTGCGTCCAAGACTCTGAAAGGATGAGTCTAATCGCGCTGCTTGGGCCCACTGTTTAAATGTCATTCATTTGAACCATGTTGGATCCAAATCCGCCCACACCGCTTTGGCGGTGAAGGCGTGCTTATTGGGAGGCAAAACAGCAACACTAAATGCTCAATCACATTTGTTAATATAGCAGTCGCTATATCAGCTTTAGCTGGGGGGGGCCAAAAACGGTTTCGCACCGAGACCAGAATTTGGTGGTGTTTTCGACATTTTTCGAGGATTTTTGGGTGTCTGAGCGCACGAGGGTATTGAAATGGAATTTTGGGTCATTTTGGTAGCTTTCCGGCAATGGAAAAACGGCCAAAAATGAAAAAAACATGGTACATAGCAAGATTTTGCAGTGTTTTTGGATGCCAGAGCATTGAAAACACTGCAAAAACAAGTGTTTTGGACTGACGTTATAGCAAAAAACGTGTAAATTACCGTATGCTTGACTGGAAGCATTACAAAAACACTGTCAAAAGCAATGTTTTGGAAGGATTTACTGCCTTTATGGCAAAAAATTACCGTATGCTTGACTGGAAGCATTACAAAAACACTGTCAAAAGCTATGTTTTGGAAGGATTTACTGCCTTTATGGCAAAAAACGTGTAAATTACCGTCTGTTTGACTGGAAACATTGGAAAAACACTGTCAAAAACAATGTTTTGGAAGGATTTCTTATATATATGTTGGAGTTGGCTACCGGCATTGGAACATGGAAAAATTGAAGAAAACACTGTAAATAGCGGTATTTTCAACGGTTGGGGAGATAAGGGAATTGGATGCATTGTCGAACATGATGTTTTCGACCGGTTTTATGGCGACAAAAGTGTAAAGTACCGTGCTTTGAAGGAAACCATTGCAAAAACATGGAAACACATTCAAAGAACACGGGATTTGGGGGACTATCTAGGCGTCGTTGTCTAGCTATTTGAAATTCCGCAGCTTGGAGAGCCTCCAAGGGAGGGAAAAGTGAAAATTCCATAGCTTGGGAAGCTGTCACGGCGGGGAAAAGTGAAAATTCCCTAGCTTGGGAAGCCCCCACGGGGGGGAAAAGTGAAAATTCCCTAGCTTGGGGAGCCCCCACGGGGGGGAAAAGTGAAAATTCCCTAGCTTGGGGAGCCCCCACGGAGGGGAAAAGTGAAAATTCCCTAGCTTGGGGAGCCCCCACGGGGGGGAAAAGTGAAAATTCCCTAGCTTGGGGAGCCCCCACGGGGGGGAAAGTGAAAATTCCCTAGCTTGGGGAGCCCCCACGGGGGGGAAAAGTGAAAATTCCCTAGCTTGGGGAGCCCCCACGGGGGGGGAAAGTGAAAATTCTTAGCTTGGGAAGCCCCCACGGGGAGGAAAAGCGAAAATTCCCTCGCTTGGGAAGCCTCCACGGGGGTGATTCCACACCACCCTTAGCCCCTCTCACGGACCGAAATAAACCTGCGGTGTGGGCGGCCACCCCACGCGAAGCGGGGTGAATATTTGTCTGCATGTGCTGAAACAATATACGGATATATTATATGATATACGTATCTCTCTCTCTCTCTCCCCATCGCCTTCTGCCTCAGCCTTACTGAGGAGTATAATGTTTATATTCATCGTTGTATCCTAAAGTGATGGCTACTGGCATCACTGAGAGATTGGGCACCCAAGGATTAACTTATCACTATTACAAATATAATCAACCATAACTGACATGACAACTCTACATTGTCTTTGCAGCTTGCGTGAAGTTGCTCACGGCTCGCTCTGCACCACTCGTTTGGTCATCAGAGGATGGCCCCTGCTTCAGATCTTCAATGTTCCTCGTTTTTTTGCGTTCCTTTCGACTGCTGCCTCATCGGGCACCACAGCATCCACACTTTCCATAATTATCTGATATGATCATCTACAGTATCATCTAGTGCATCCCATCTGGTTGGTAGATAGTCCATATTACCTCTCTTGGAATATCATTTGAATTTTCCGCAGGCATCATATCTGAGTGGTGCTTGACTAATATAGCCTTCCTGCGATTTGGTTCCCTAGTAATTTATGTGAGCCGTATCCAATTCACTTCATTTAAGATTCAGCCTGATTGAAGTACCTGGATATGCAGCGTTTTCCAAGTTTGACCATTTTGAGCAATGATAGCTGGTGCACAAAGACTGCACCTCTGACCATCCAGGTGCTTTCATCCATTTGATTTGAGCACAAAGTTGGAGATATGCCAAATCCCGCCTCTGCGTGGCGAATCCAGAAGACTCTTTTCAGCCTCCTTTTGACTGCTTCTCCGGTCATCTTGGGCAAATTCAAGGGGCAATGGAGGCAAAACAACTCCTGAACGGTCATGAAACTGGAACTCAGGGCATCTGCGATCGTAATGACTCTCAGGGAAGTCTGATCAGCCGCAAATGACATAGTGAGATTGGGACAATAGAATAGAAACAAAATGAAACAGCAAATGTCCTGCAGAGGAGCGCCACCTGTCAATGTCACTCGCCAGTGTTTCCGGGACAATTGAATTGCTCATCAACTTCTCCATCAACCTTAGCCGCTGACAAATCAACATCCGAACTGATGTTTGGGAAACGTTTGGGAGACCTTTGCCGCCAGGCCACTTGGCATGCACATGACCCCAGCGGATACCCCACTTGGCGGAGGCTGCAAAAACCTCCGGGGGAGCCACGACCTTCTCCTTGTCCCTGTCCCTCTTGGCCCAGTTGACCCACGGCTGCCCCTTCAACCAAGTCTGGAGAGGTGAGAAAAGTTCGGCTTCCATCGAAACAATCCAGGCATCACTGCAAAGTAAATGGGTCAAAGCATCCACATGAAGTGCATGCAAGACGGGCAAGGTTGCCAAGCGACACTTGGCACTATGTCGTGCCAAGACCTGTCAGGATCTGTTGGATGACATCAAATCTACCTACAAGAGTGGCTAAATGCTGCAGGGAAACAACAAGCACAGGCATCATGACACGCCTCTGAGCAGTGATGCGTCTCCTCTTTCAGGTTGTGCGCATGGGCCAATGACAGCAATGCCCACGTCATGTCAAGTGGAACTTGGTTGGGCAAATCCAGAATCATTTTCCTGCAGCGCGATCTTCGTGACTTTTAGGTTCCAATGTGCATGACTTGCATGTTTCTGTGCACACACGCATGCGCGCGTTCCCTACAAGTCTAATATACATATACAGACACATACATGTGTGTCTGTGTGTGTGTGTCACATGTATGATATATATATATACATGTAGTATGTATGTTCTTGATAAAGAAAACAAACAAGCAAATAAATGAATAAAGAAAAAATATAAATAAAAATTTAAAAAAAAAAACAAATAAATAAACAAATATTTTATAAAGAATAAATGAATAAATAAACAAAAAACAAGGAAAAACTGTGTATCTATATGTGTGTGTGTGTGGGCGTGTGTGAGTGTGCGCGTGTGTGCATGTAAAAGGTATGTCTGTGGGCGTGTGTGTGTGTGAAACCCATTTAGGTATCATGCGGGAAAGAACTATTTAAGTAAAAATTCGGCAGGGGGCCATGGCTCCATTCATCAGTCCGTGGCCAACGAAGCTTCTGATGCTTGGAGAGGATATGCAATCTGATCAACTGCACGTAACTGCGATTGGAACTGTTGATTTCTGTTTCTCCATGAAGCTATTTGCTTTAAAAGTTTGACATTTCACCGTGTCTGGTATGGATTTTGAGTTAGGCATCCTCAAGGCATCGATTATTTCAACATTCTCACCTTCCATCTCGGAGTACTTCCTCTATATATCAGCACTGTGTGTATGTCCATATGCGTGAACATGTATGTGTATATATCTATTATAAATGTCTGTGTGATTGTGTGTGCGTGTGCATATATCATATATCATATATCTCTTGGCCATTATATCATATCCGTCTATTCGTGGGTGTGATAAAAACAAAATACAGTTGTTTTTGGTAAATCTACAATATTTACTGATCTATTTGGTAATCCACATGTCATACTTACAAGTTATGCATGTGCGTTTGCCTGTGCATGCCCGGTGCTCTTCAAAGCCCCCAACAACGCTGAAGAATAGGATAGCTCTAAGTTGATTTTGCATAGAGAGAGGTAGCAGTGACAAAACTCCAGGGGTGACAAGTGCAATGGTCACAGAGAGCAAACCAGGAAGTTTATTGATGTGATCCAGCAAATGTAGATGCATTCCAAGAAAAAGAATGTGGGTTGACGTAGGTGAGAGAAAAAACTGCAGCTACAGCCACTGATCAATACTCTTCTTTCCGTGTTTGACTGGATTCGTTGCCTACAATGGAGCAGTATCAAGCAATCAGCAACTGAAAGCAAGACCACGTTAAACATCATTAAACTCTGGGATCCCATGGCATGAAACAAGTCTGACAGAGTCTATTGTGAAGAACTGTCCTGAGACCTGCTTCAATATCAGGAAGTTGGAGTTCTTTGGACAAGGCAAGTGCTGGCCACCAACGTTTCGTACACCACCTCTTCATTTCCCCGTGCGTCACCTGCACGTAGGCCAATCGGCCAAGCCAGCACAGTCACACGCAGCACAACATCATAAAACTGTTTCTTGCACTCTTTGTCAACATCTCCACGGCGCAGTGGAAAATGACCTTCAGGGGCATCCCGTACAGCAGCGCCAAGATATCAGCAAAAGCACTTGGATCTTCACGAATACCTTGGAGATCTTGGATGATGAGTGTTGCTCTACTGATGTCTACCGGGCTTCACCCAGCTGCCAAGGTCTGAGTGCTGTTTCATCTTGTTTCGCCAGCATTTCCTACCATTAGCACCTGTTTGCCCGAACAAAGAAAGCGAAACAAATGGCAAACCGTATGCCTTGTTGTTTGTCAAAGATCCAATTCTGTCCAAAGAACTCAATTTGAATTCCAAAATGGACGGCCGCGACACACGCAGCTTCTGTGGCTGAAATTTCCTGCATGGGATGGAGAGAACATGAGAGAACTACATAAACTGCATGGCAGGCTTAGACAGAAACAGCGTGAACGATGACTCGGGCAAAGCCTGCACAAATGCAAAAAGATTGCTGCGGCTCTACCTGCCTAGGGACAAGTTGCTGCCTGAAAATAAATTTTAACACACACGCACTGCCCCCCAATATGTGTCAACCCATGTTCCCAGTCCTTGGTGGTCTTGCAACCTGAGGATGTCACATCGTGTCAGGGTCAAGCGGCATGACATGCAAAAATGTCACACGAGTGTGTCGGGTCACTTTTTGAGCCCTTTCCTTTTGCCTTCCTTCGGCCGCTTCCTCTCTTGGCTCGAACTGGGGCAAAGGCCTCGCGTACAAACAATGCAGCTTTAGCACAACACACCCAAGGCATCATTTCTTACATGTTTTAGTCATAATCTATTATGACTTATATTGATGTTTTTCCAATTTTAGCCTTGTCCAGCCATGTTCTCTCTCTCTCTCTCTCTGTGATCTGATGTGTTTTCGTTTCTTCTCCGGACATGTTTCAGGTGCGGTAACGAAAACACAACAGGTCGCAGCAATGCACAGTCGCACCTTAGGCCCTTTGCTTGCAGTGCAGCTTCGGCAGTTTTGATTCTGTAGCGCAAGGTCAGCGACGCACGGCTCAAGATGTGCTTGTGGCACCTGAGGCAGGCCCCACGCACGTCCTGAATATTCCGCTAAGGCCCACAATTGATCCACAATTGATATCAATTGATCCACTAGACTCAGGTTTTGCAATGTGCTGCATTGATTTTTCTGTTTTTTCTCCAACCGAGCTGCAAAAAAGCTTTCACCCTCTGCTTACGTTTCGCAATTGAAATCACAACGTCGGCTTTCATGGTGTCGGCTTCACCTTCCGATATCCTTGGCTTCGGAATGTTTAGGCGGGCTGGCTGTGCTTACACGAATCCCAGTCCGCTGTGTCTTCAGAAGCTAGATATATAAATTATACAAGTAGTACCCGGGCAAGCCGGGGGCGGAAGTTTCAAATTTGAAACGCTTAAAGCCTATAGAGCGGAGCAAAGGATGTGCCTATAGGTGACAGGCAAGCCTCCTGTGTTTCGCAGCAACAATCTCTTGACTTTCAATCTGATGCCATGCCATGTCTTTTGAATGTTGAATATTTTCTCAGTTCATTTGATCTCATCACATCGCAGCTCCTCTTGCAAATTGCTCACTGCATCCCACTGTCACCGCAGTCTGTGTCATCCCATTTCATCTCAACTCATCTCCTGTCTTCTCAATTTTTTCACTGCATCTCACCTCATCCCATCTCACGTCCTCTCTCCCATTCTCAGCTCTTCACAGCTGATCACGACTGGTCTCTTCTCTTCTCATGTCATTTGAGCTTCTCTCATCTCTTTTCATCTCAGTTTCTCTAAGCTTTTCTCAGATTTTCAAAACTCTTCTCAGCTCTCCGCAGCTCATGTCAGCTCACCTTACGTCTTCTCATCTCCTCTTCCCTCTTCTCACATCTCCAAAGCTCTTCTCACACCTCCTCAGCTGATCTCAGCTCTTGTCAGCTCGTCACACCTCATCTCAGCTCTTCTCGGCACACTCTCAAATCATCTCCACTCTCCTCTAGCTGAAAACCTGCTCCAGAAACGGTTCTCGGCACCCAAGCAAACGACCCTAATGCTTTCCACGGAGAAGATTTGACACAGAGAAAATTTTACGTTTTACACACAGCAAGCTTTTGCACAGAGAAGCTTTTACACACAGCAAACTTGAACACGCAGAAGCTTTTACACAGAGAACCCTTTACACAGCTTTTCCACACAGCAATCTTTGACACAAAGAAGCTCCTACACAGAAAAGCTTTTACACAGGGGAGCGTTTACACACTGCAAACTTTTACACACAGAGAGCCTTTACACACAGCAGCTTTCACACAGAGAAGCATTTACACAGCTTTTACACACAGAAGCTTTTACACACAGCAAGCCTTCACGCAGAGAAGCTCCTACACAGAGAGGCTTTTACACAGCGAAGCTTTTACACAGCAAGCTTTCACACAGAGAATCTTTTATACACAGACACTTTTACACACAGAAACCTTTACCCACAGCCAGCTTTTACACAGAGAAGTTTTTACACAGAGTTAGGGAAGCTTTTATTCACAGAACGCTTTTACACAGAGCCAACTTTTACACAGAGAAGCCCTTACACTACACAGAGAAGCATTTAATTTACACACAGAAGTACACACCGCCAGCTTTTACACACAGAAACTTTTAGACACAGCAAGCTGTCACAGGGAGAAGCCTTAGCACAGAGAAGCCTTTGCACAGCCAAGCCTTTACACACAGCGAGCTTTTACACACAGCAAATTTTTACACAGAGAAGCTTTTACACAGAAAAACTTTTGCACACAGAAGCCTTTACACATAGGATGCTTTCACACAGAGAAGCCCTAACACAGAGAAGCATTTACACAGAGGAGCTTTTACACACAGAAGCCTTTACACACAGAAGCCTTTACACACAGAAGCTTTTACACACAGCAAGCTTTTGCACAGAGAAGCTTTTACACAGAGTTAGGGAAGCTTTCACTCACAGAAAGCTTGTACACAGAGAAGCATTTACACAGAGAAGCTTTTACACACGGCAAACTGTTACACACAGAAGCTTTACACACAGCCAGCTTTTACACAGAGAAGCCCTTTCACAGGAGCTTTACACAGAGAAGGTTTTACACACAGCAAGCTTTTAAACTGAGAAAATCTGCTAACAAATCACTATCCCAACCTTGATGCGGCCACTCCAATACGATTTACGATGTCCAGCTGCAAAAGACAATAGTATTACGCACACAGCCGCGGCGCCAAGCAACCTAGACGCAGCCACGACAATGCGATCTGCAAAGACTGACTTACAAAACGCAAAAGAACTACGCGCAATGGCGTCGGAAATTGCAGCTCCAAAACCGGGATGGATCTCGATGCCAAAGCAAAAAAAAAAAGACGATTTTGAAACACTTTTGAAAAGAAATTTCAAAAGGTAAGTCACCAGTGCCAAAATTGGGAAAATCTGCTGACAAATCAGTATCGCAGCCTTGATGGAGCCACTCCAATACGATTTACGATGTCCAGTTGACGCAGCCACTACAATGTGATTTACAAAGACCGGGTTGCAAAACACAATGGAACTACGCGCAACGCCATCAAAAATTGCAGCTCCAAAACCGGATCTCGATTTTGAAGCACTTTTTAAAAGGAGTTTAAAAAGGAAAATCACCAGTGCCAAAATTGAGAAAATCTGCTGACAAATCAGTATCGCAGCCTTGATGCAGCCACTCCAATACGATTTACGATGTCCAGCTGCAAAAGACAATAGTATTACGCACACAGCCGCGGCGCCACGCAACATAGACGCAGCCACGACAACGCGATCTGCAGAGACTGACTTACAAAACACAAAAGAACTACGCGCAAGAACGTTAGCAAAACGACACCTGAACTGTCAACTCCACTACGCGGCCGATCCGAGCATGATCCCGGTTGAAAGGAACGTGTTACGCAACCGCCCACCGGACAAGCTTCCCCACACATCTTCCGAGGCACGTTTCAAAACACACCATTTCGTGCATCTACTCTCTCTCACAAACGCATTTCGCGCGAGACTTCCCTCCAAAAGTGAAAGTGGAAGATATGAAAACGAAGCTGTCGTGCGAGACTTCCCTCAAAATCCTCCAAAAATGAAAATGGAAGATATGAAAACGAAGCTCTAGGGCGAGACTTCCCTCAAAAAGTGAAAGTTGAAGATGTGAACGCGAAGCTTTAGTGCGAGACTTCCTTCAAATTAAAATCTGATAGCGGAACATGTGGAAACGAAGCTGTCGTGCGAGACTTCCCTCAAAAAGTGAAAGCGGAAGATGTGGAAACAAAGCTGTCGTGCAAGACTTCCCTCAAAAAGTGAAAGTGGAAAATGTGAGAACGAAGCTGTCGTGCAAGACTTCCCTCAAAATCGGAAAGTTGAAGGTGTGAAAGCGAAGCTTTAGTGCGAGACTTCCTTCAAATCTGAAAGTCGAAGAGTCAAAATGAAAACGAAGCTTTCGTGCGAGACTTCCCTCAACATCTGAAAGTGGAAGATACGAAACGGAGTTTTCGTGCGAGACTTCCCTCAAATTTTGAAAGTTCAAATTGTGAAAATGAAGCCTGAACTCGCAGTTCCAATGCGGGGCCCATCCGACCATGATCCGAACATAGCCGACACCGTCTCGCACCCGTCCGCCTGACAAGCTTCCCCGTCCTTCTTCCGAGACACGTTCTGTCCTGCAAAACACAGCATTTCGTGCATCTAATCTACTATCTCTCAAAAACGCCTTTCATGCGAGACTTCCCTCAAAAAGTGAAAGTGGAAGATATGAAAACGAAGGTTTTGCGCGAGACTTCCCTCAAAAAGTCAAAGTGGAAGATGTATATATGAAGATGTGAAGACGAAGCTTTCGTGCGAGACTTCCCTCAAAAAGTGAAAGTGGAAGATGTGGAAACAAAGCTGTCGTGCAAGACTTCCCTCAAAAAGTGAAAGTGGAAGATGTGAGAACGAAGCTGTCGTGCGAAACTTCCCTCAAAGAGTGAAAGTAGCAAATGTGAAAACGGAGTTTTCGTGCGAGACTTCCCTCAAATTTTGAAAATTCAAAGTGCGAAAATTCAGCCTGAACACGCAGTTTCAATGCGGGGCCGCTCCGACCATGATCCGAGCATAGCCGGGACCGTCTCGCACCCGTCCGCCTGACAAGCTTCCCCGTCCTTCTTCCGAGACACGTTCTGTCCTGCAAAACACAGCATTTCGTGCATCTACTATCTCTCAAAAACGCCTTTCATGCGAGACTTCCCTCAAAAAGTGAAAGTGGAAGATATGAAAACGAAGGTTTTGCGCGAGACTTCCCTCAAAAAGTGAAAGTGGAAAATGTGAGAACGAAGCTGTCGTGCAAGACTTCCCTCAAAATCGGAAAGTTGAGGTGTGAAAGCGAAGCTTTAGTGCGAGACTTCCTTCAAATCAAAATCTGAAAGCCGAAGAGTGAAAATGAAAACGAAGCTTTCGTGCGAGACTTCCCTCAACATCTGAAAGTGGAAGATACGAAACGGAGTTTTCGTGCGAGACTTCCCTCAAATTTTGAAAGTTCAAATTGTGAAAGTGAAGCCTGAACTCGCAGTTCCAATGCGGGGCCCATCCGACCATGATCCGAACATAGCCGACACCGTCTCGCACCCGTCCGCCTGACAAGCTTCCCCGTCCTTCTTCCGAGACACGTTCTGTCCTGCAAAACACAGCATTTCGTGCATCTAATCTACTATCTCTCAAAAACGCCTTTCATGCGAGACTTCCCTCAAAAAGTGAAAGTGGAAGATATGAAAACGAAGGTTTTGCGCGAGACTTCCCTCAAAAAGTCAAAGTGGAAGATGTATATATGAAGATGTGAAGACGAAGCTTTCGTGCGAGACTTCCCTCAAAAAGTGAAAGTGGAAGATGTGAAAACGAAGCTGTCGTGCGAGCCGTCCCTCAAAGAGTTAAAAAGGAAGATGTGAGAACGAAGCTGTCGTGCAAGTTTTCCCTCAAAAAGTGGAAGTAGCAAACAATGTGAAAACGAAGCTTTCGTGCGAGACTTCCTCAGTTCAAAGTGTGAAAATGGAAGCCTGAACTTGCAGTTTCAATGCGGGGCCGATCCGACCATGATCCAAGCATAGCCGGGACCGTCTCGCACCCGTCTGCCGGACAAGCTTCCCCGTCCCTCTTCCGAGACACGTTTTGTCCTGCAAAACACAGCATTTTGTGCATCTACTATCTCTCAAAAACCCCTTTCATGCGAGACTTCCCTCAAAAAGTGAAAGTGGAAGATATGAAAACGAAGGTTTTGCGCCAGACTTCCCTCAAAAAGTCAAAGTGGAAGATGTGAGAAGGAAGCTTTCGTGCGAGACTTCCCTCAAAAAGTGAAAGTGGAAAATGTGAGAACGAAGCTGTCGTGCCAGACTTCCCTCAAAGAGTGAAAGTGGAAGATGTGAAAACGAAGCTTGGCTGTGAGACCTCTTGGCTGTGAGATCTCTTGGCTGTGAGATCTCTTGGCTGAGATCTGTTGGCTGCGAGATCTCTCGGCTGAGAGATCTCTTGGCTGTGAGATCACTTGGCTGTGAGATCTCTTGGCTGTGGGATCCCGTGGCTGTGTGGGATCTCTTGGCTGTGAGATCTCTTGGCTGAAATCTCTTGTCTGTGAGATCCCTTGGCCGTGAGATCTCTTGGCTGCGAGATCTCATGGCTGAGATCTCTTGGCTGTGAGATCTCTTGGCTGAGAGATCTCTTGGCTTTGAGATCTCTTGGCTGTGAGATCTCTTGGCTCTGAGATCTCGTCGCTGAGATCTCATCGCTGAGATCTCTTGGCTGTGGCAAAAAAAATAGAAAAATCCGTAACTCAGAAGTTAGACCTTCAAACTTCCTTGGATAACAGACTTCCTCCAGCAGCATGTTCAAAAAAAGAAACACACCAATGAAGTGATTGCCTAGTCTCGCTGAGCAGTCTGCTTTGTCCAGGGCTGAGCTCAGATTGTAGAGGAGTTTGCTTGGTGAGGATGGAGACACTGGCGTCTCCGGAGCTGCCACTACAACTGGGTCCTGCTGAACCACCCACAAGCGCATGTCTGCTGAACCCAGCAGAGTCTTCCTGGCCAACTCCTGCATCACATCAAAACAAATCTGGGTCGCAACTCTGAAGCGCAGCATGGCAACGCTCTTGTCATCTGTGGCCTCGCTGGCTCCATGCCATGCAACGTGGTGATCAAGGTGCCTCACGAAAATCTGCTGTGGATCGATGAATGTCACATGGGGATTCAGTGGGATCCATCTCTGAAGTTGCAGGCAATCTTGGCACCTGCCTTGATGGTGGTTGCGGCGGCTGTCGCGACTGGGGCCGCACAATAGCTGGCATGTACCTGATTTGAGCAACTTTGAGCAGTAATTAGAGGCTCCCTCCGCAGAGGGAGTCATGCATTACCATGCTTGAAGCAACATGTTCGGTCAAAGCCACAAGTCATCTTGCCAGGGCTCAACTTTCCTGAGCTGAGAAGCTCTCCCTGACAAAGGATTCTCAATTCAGGGTTAGAATTTGGTTCATGGAAAATGGTGAGAATTAGCTGCATTCCTTGCTTCTGAGGCTCTCATTCGATACTCGGATAGCTGCCAATTCAGCAAACACGGGAATTTCATCGTGCAAAGGGACACTCTCCCGACTTAACATGGCATTGTCATCGCCAGCGCCATGGTCTGAGCCAAGCTGCCTGCAAAAAAGATGTGCTGTATGGTAATCCGGAATGCGTATTTCCTACCCAAAGAAAGAAGCCGCACCAAAACGAACGAAATCAAACATCCGGGGGTGGTGTTATAACTGGCGTGTGTGTGTGTGCATGTGTGTACACATGTGGAAAACATTGGAAAACCATATGGGCATATCTGTTCATACGCTTTTGAACTTGGAAGCTTTTGTGTTCACTATATATACGTGGTTTCCCCCAAATCCGGCCATAAATACCACCCATTCGTCAAAATCTTGGATTCCCGTCATGGAAGCTTCAATGGTGCAGCAACCACTTAGAATCGATTTTTTGGCAGCAGCCACCACCTCACACATCTATTTGGACCTTCGTTTCACGAGGGTCCGAACGAAAAAAGAAGTCAGAGATTCACCACTTGTGCAGCATGGTGACGGTGCAGCTGCAATTGGCGAGCAGGTTTGAGAAAACCACAAAATGAATAAACTGATCATAATGTAATTCAAAAAATTGAATTCCTCAATAATTACTCTTGTCAATTTGTCAAAGTTTTTTACGGCTGGGTTGCTAAATCATGATAAATAAAGCCATTTTTTGGTCGAAAATGATTCTGCCTTTGCAGCTGCTTGACTACTGGCGCAGCATGAGCCAGTGAGGGGCTCAATCCCGGAGTTCGGAAGCCACGCTACCATTCACATGGTGAGTGTATGTGATTGGTGTGTATTCATCTACCTGAGTCCTCCAACCTTAGTCTTAGAAAACTGGAGGTTCAGGTAGGCTCAGAGATTCAGAGTGTGACGACGCAACAGCCCGTCTGTCTGTACAACTCTGTGCTACATCAAATTCAGTCCTCCGGCTGAGCGCGACAGCAACCGAAGAGTGACGCCATCCTGATTGCAGAATTGCTGTGCTTTCGATAAGGGCGGACCACTTGCAGCTGCAAAGAAATCCAAGTATAAAGCGCACACAAGTCTCAACTATGAGCATCTCCCCTCAAGAAAGTTCTATGTGAAGAAAGCTCTTCTGTTCATCCAGTAGGCACAATTCAAATGATCATTATAGCCACAGTGAGGGAATATATGAAACATCATGAAAGGGGTGGATATCTTTTGTGTGTTTTTCCCCAGCCAGGTGAGGGCTGTTAGATTTTTCGGAGTTGTTCTCCTCATCCTCCTCCTCATCCTCCTCCTCTTCCTCCTCCTCCTATTCCTCCTCCTCCAGTTTCTCCTCGACCATGTCTGCATCAACTTCCACGTCCACTTCCGCCTTGCCAACTTGTCGCCAATCTCTTCGCTAACTTCCGCGCGCAGTGGGCTGGACCTCAACCGCCAGGTTCTGAGCGCAGTGGAGGTTCTGAGCGCAGTGGGCACTGCTGGACCTCAACTGCCGGCTTCCGAGCCCAGTGGGCACCGCTGGACCCCAACCTGGGACCTTCAGAGCGCAGTGGGCACCGCTGGACCTCAACCTGGGACCTTCCGAGCTCAGTGGGCACCGCTGGACCTCAACGGCCAGATAGAATGCCAGAAGATATGCCAGATAGAACGCCAAATAGAATGTCACAAAAGAATGCCAGAAGATATACCAGATAAAATGCCAGAAGATATGCCAGATAGAATGCCAGAAGATATGCCAGATAGAATGCCAAAAGATATGCCAGATAGAATGTCAGATAGGATGCCAGAAGGTATGCCAGATAAAGTGCCAGAATGTTTGCCAGATAGAACGCCAGAAGATTTGCCAGATAGAATGCCAGATAGAATGTCAGAAGATATGCCAGAAGATATGCCAAATAGAGTGCCAGAAGATATGCCAGAACATATGCCAGAAGATATGCCAGGTAGAATGCCAGAAGATATGCCAGATAGAATGCCAAAAGATATGCCAGATAGAATGCCAGAAGATATGCCAGATAGAAGGCCAGATAACGTGCCAGAAAGTATGCCAGATAAAGTGCCAGAATGTTTGCCAGATAGAATGCCAGAAGATTTGCCAGATAGAATGCCAGATAGGATGTCAGAAGATATGCCAGAAGATATGCCAAATAGAGTGCCAGAAGATATGCCAGAAGATATGCCAGATAGAATATGCCAAAAGATTGCCAGATAGAATGTCAGAAGATTGCCAATAACAAAACGTATAAATATCATGGTGGGGATCACACGAAGTAAAGTATCCGCCGACCCCGGCCGACGGCAAGGGGGAGCGCGTCAGGGCAGAGAGGGTTTTGGAAGCCAGCAGCAGCAGCAGCAGCAGCAGCGAGGCCTGCAGCGCCAGCTCCAGCAGCAGCAGCAGGAACAGCAGGAACAGCAGGAACAGCAGCAGCAGCAGCAGGCCCGGCAGCTGCAATCGTTTTGCTCTGAACAGAATCCAGAAGGGACGTCAAGCCTCGGGGCAGCATGTTTTTGGAGGTCGTTCCGTCCTTCAGTAGCATGGTGTTTCGGTGTGGCGAGGGGTACGTTGTGGAGGCCTGCAGCACCAGCTCCAGCAGCACCAGCAGCAGCAGCAGCAGCAGGAAACAGGAGGAAAAAGTAGCTAAAAAAATCATCTTTTTCTATGGGTTTCAGAAGTTACATTAGGCAGTTTTTGGGTACAATTTTGATGCTTTTCCGTCCTTCACTGCCATGGGGATTTGCTGCTGGGAGTGGTTCGAATTCTGGCGTCAGCAGCACCAGCAGGAAACAGGAGGAAAAGGTAGCTACAAAAATAAGAGTAGCAGGAGCAGGAGCAGCAGCAGCAGGAGAAAACAGGCAGAAGTTACCTTAGGGAGTTTTTGGGCGCAATTTTGATGCTTTTCCGTCCTTCACTGCCATGGGGATTTGCCGCTGGGAGTGGTTCGATTTTAGGCGATTGCCTTTTGAATATCCCTTTTGAACAGAAGGAATAGCAGGTAGCAGGAGCAGGAGCAGCAGCAACAGCAGGAGGAAACAGGAGGAAAAAGTAGCTAAAATAGCTAAATTTTCAAAAAGTTTCAGAAGTTACAGTACATTTAGGGAGTTTTTGGGCGCAATTTTGATGCTTTTCCGTCCTTCACTGCCATGGGGATTTGCCGCTGGGAGTGGTTTGATTTTAGGCGACTGATCCTTTTCTATAGGTTTCAGAAGTTACATTAGGGAGTTTTTGGGCGCAATTTTGATGCTTTTCCGTCCTTCACTGCCATGGGGATTTGCCGCTGGGAACACTTCGATTTTACGCGACTGCCTTTTGAAGACGCGTTTTTCAACAGAAGTAGCAGGAGCAGGAGTAGCAGCAGCAGCAGCAGGAGGAAACAGGAGGAAAAAGTAGCTAAAATCATCGTTTCAAAAGTTACATTAGGGAGTTTTTGGTCGCAATTTTGATGCTTTTCCGTCCTTCACTGCCATGGGGATTTGCCGCTGGGAGCGGTTCGATTTTAGGCGAATGCCTTTTGAAGCCTTTTGAACAGAAGGAGTAGTAGCAGGAGCAGGAGCAGCAGCAGCAGCAGGAAGAAAAACAGGAGGAAAAAGTCGCTGAAATCATCCTTTTCTATAGGTTTCAGAAGTTACATTAGGGAGTTTTTGGGCGCAATTTTGATGCTTTTCCGTCCTTCACTGCCATGGGGATTTGCCGCTGGCGGTGGTTCGATTTTAGGCGACTGCCTTTTGAAGATGCCTTTTTGAACAGAAAAGGAGTAGAAGGAGCAGCAGCAGCAGCAGGAGGAAACAGGAGGAAAAAGTAGCTAAAATAGCTAATTTCCTATAGGTTTCAGAAGTTACATTAGGGAGTTTTTGGGCGCAATTTTGATGCTTTGCCGTCCTTCACTGCCATGGGGATTTGCCGCTGGGAGTGGTTCGATTTTAGGCGAATGCCTTTTGAAGGTGCCTTTTTGAACAGAAGGAGTAGCAGGAGCAGCAGCAGCAGGAGGAAACAGGAGGAAAAAGTCGCTAAAATAGCTAATTTTCTATAGGTGTCAGAAGTTACATTAGGGAGTTTTGGGCGCAATTTTGATGCTTTTCCGCCCTTCAGTGCCATAAGGATTTGCCGCTGGGAGCGGTTCGATTTTAGGCGACTGCCTTTTGAAGATGCCTTTTTGAACAGAAGGAGTAGCAGGAGCAGGAGTAGCAGCAGCAGCAGCAGGAGGAAACAGGAGGAAAAAGTAGCAGCTAAAATCATCGTTTCAAAAGTTACATTAGGGAGTTTTTGGGCGCAATTTTGATGCTTTTCCGTCCTTCACTGCCATGGGGATTTGCCGCTGGGAGCGGTTCGATTTTAGGCGACTGCCTTTTGAAGATACCTTTTTGAACAGAAGGAGTAACAGGAGCAGGACAGGAGGAAAAAGTAGCTAAAATAGCTAATTTTCTATAGGTTTCAGAAGTTGCATTAGGGAGTTTTTGGGCGCAATTTTGATGCTTTTCCGTCCTTCACTGCCATGGGGATTTGCCGCTGGGAGTGGTTCGATTTCAGGCGGCTGCCTTTTGAAGATGCCTTTTTGAACAGAAAAGGAGTAGAAGGAGCAGCAGCAGCAGCAGGAAGAAACAGGAGGAAAAAGTAGCTAAAATAGCTAAAATTGCTAATTTTCTATAGGTTTCAGAAGTTACATTAGGGAGTTTTTGGGCGCAATTTTGATGTTTTTCCGTCCTTCACTGCCATGGGGATTTGCCGCTGGGAGTCGTTCGATTTTAGGCGACTGCCTTTTGAAGATACCTTTTTGAACAGAAGGAGTAGCAGGAGCAGGAGCAGCAGCAGCAGCAGGAGGAGGAAACAGGAGGAAAAAGTGGAGGAAACAGGAGGAAAAAGTCGCTAAAATAGCTAATTTTCTATAGGTTTCAGAAGTTACATTAGGGAGTGTTTGGGCGCAATTTTGATGCTTTTCCGTCCTTCACTGCCGTCGGGATTTGCCGCTGGGAGTGGTTCGATTTTAGGCGACTGCCTTTTGAAGATGCCTTTTTGAGCAGAAGGAGTAGCAGGAGCAGGAGTAGCAGCAGCCTGCAGCAGCAGGAGGAAACAGGAGTTACATTAGGGAGTTTTGGGGCGCAATTTTGATGCTTTTCCGTCCTTCACTGCCATGGGGATTTGCTGCTGGGAGCGGTTCGATTTTAGGGGACTGCCTTTTGAAGATGCCTTTTTGAACAGAAGGAGTAGCAGGAGCAGGACAGGAGGAGAAAGTAGCTAAAAACATTCCTTTTCTATTGGTTTCAGAAGTTGCATTAGGGAGTTTTTGGGCGCAATTTTGATGCTTTTCCGTTCTTCACTGCCATGGGGATTTGCCGCTGGGAGTGGTTCGATTTTAGGCGATTGCCTTTTGAATATCCCTTTTGAACAGAAGGAATAGCAGGTAGCAGGAGCAGAAGCAGCAGCAACAGCAGGAGGAAACAGGAGGAAAAAGTCGCTAAAATAGCTAATTTTCCATAGATTTCAGAAGTTACATTAGGGAGTTTTTGGGCGCAATTTTGATGTTTTTCCGTCCTTCACTGCCATGGGGATTTGCCGCTGGGAGTGGTTCGATTTTAGGCGACTGCCTTTTGAAGATGCCTTTTTGAACAGAAGGAGTAGCAGGAGCAGGAGCAGCAGCAGCAGCAGGAGGAAACAGGAGGAAAAAGTCGCTAAAATCATTGTTTTCTATAGGTTTCAGAAATTACATTTAGGGAGTTTTTGGGCGCAATTTTGATGCTTTTCCGTCCTCCACTGCCATGGGGATTTGCCGCTGGGAGCGGTTCGATTTTAGGCGACTGCCTTTTGAAGATGCCTTTTGAACAGAAGGAGTAGCAGGAGCAGGAGCAGCAGCAGCAGGAGGAAAAACAGGAGGAAAAACAGGAGGAAAAAGTAGCTGAAATCATCCTTTTCTATAGGTTCCAGAAGTTACATCGAGGGAGTTTTTGGGCGCAATTTTGATGTTTTTCCGTCCTTCACTGCCATGGGGATTTGCCGCTGGGAGTGGTTCGATTTTAGGCGATTGCCTTTTGAATATCCCTTTTGAACAGAAGGAATAGCAGGTAGCAGGAGCAGCAGCAGCAGCAGGAGGAAACAGGAGGAAAAAGTAGCTAAAATCATTCTTATCTATAGGTTTCAGAAGTTACATTAGGGAGTGTTTGGGTGCACTTTTGATGCTTTTCCGTCCTTCACTGCCATGGGGATTTGCCGCTGGGAGTGGTTCGATTTTACGCGACTGCCTTTTGAAGATGCCTTCTTGAACAGAAGGAGTAGCAGGAGCAGGAGCAGCAGCAGCAGCAGGAGGAAAAACAGGAGGAAAAAGTAGCTGAAATCATCCTTTTCTATAGGTTTCAGAAGTTACATTAAGGAGTTTTTGGGCGCAATTTTGATGCTTTTCCGTCCTTCACTGCCATGGGGATTTGCCGCCGGGAGTGGTTCGATTTTACGCGACTGCCTTTTGAAGATGCCTTCTTGAACAGAAGGAGTAGCAGGAGCAGGAGCAGCAGCAGCAGGAGGAAAAACAGGAGGAAAAAGTAGCTGAAATCATCCTTTTCTACAGGTTTCAGAAGTTACATTAAGGAGTTTTTGGGCGTAATTTTGATGCTTTTCCATCCTTCACTGCCATGGGGGTTTGCCGCTGGGAGTGGTTCGATTTTAGGCGACTGCCTTTTGAAGATGCCTTTTTGAACAGAAGGAGTAGCAGGAGCAGGAGCAGCAGCAGCAGCAGCAGGAGGAAACAGGAGGAAAAAGTAGCTAAAATAGCTAAATTTTCAAAAAGTTTCAGAAGTTACAGTACATTTAGGGAGTGTTTGGGCGCACTTTTGATGCTTTTCCGTCCTTCACTGCCATGGGGCTTTGCCGCTGGGAGTGGTTCGCTTTTAGGCGACTGCCTTTTGAAGATGCCTTTTTGAACAGAAGGAGTAGCAGGAGGAGGAGCAGCAGCAGCAGCAGGAGGAAAAACAGGAAGAAAAAGTCGCTAAAATCATTCCTTTTCTAAAGGTTTCAGAAGTTACATTAGGGAGTTTTTGGGCGCAATTTTGATGCTTTTCCGTCCTTCACTGCCATGGGGATTTGCCGCTGGGAGTTGTTCGATTTTAGGCAACTGCGTTTTGAAGATGTCTTTTTGAACAGAAGGAGTAGCAGGAGCAGCAGCAGCAGGAGGAAACAGGAGGAAAAAGTAGCTAAAATAGCAAATTTTCTATAGGTTTCAGAAGTTACATTAGGAAGTGTTTGGGCGCAGTTTTGATGCTTTTCCGTCCTTCATTTTTGCCAATTTGGTTTGATTCATTGCGGATTCTTCCGGGGTCGGCGGCAGGGGCGGCAGCCCTTAGATATAATCTGGTTGTTTTTTCAACAAACAGTGTGTCCACACTGAAGAGTTCTTACGGTAGGTGAAAGACCGGTGCTTGATCAGGGTGCTCACTCTGGGTGCGAACCTTCTTCCTGTAAATTTCGGTATAAAGTGGCTCTTGTGAAATTTTGAAATGCATTTCGACTGCGTAAGCTCGCACAAAGTGTGTGTCCGCGTTCTGTGTTCAAGCTGCGGCGCGACATCTTTCCTGTATTTTTTTAAATTTAAGTGGCACTTGTGAAATGTTTACATGAATTTTGACTGTGCAGGCTCACACAAAAGCGCTGTCCTAGGTCCTGGGGTGCGGCATTTCTCCTGCAAAATTCCATCTAAAGTGGCTCTTGTGACATGTTGAAGTGCCTTTCGACCGCGCAGGCTCGCACAAAGTGTGGTCCTAGCTTCTGGTCTGCGGCATTTTACCTGTGAATTTCCGTATATATAAAGTGGCCCTTGTGAAATGTTGAAATGCATTTCGACTGCGCAGGCTCGCACAAAGTGTGTGTGTCTGCGTTCTGGGCTCAAGCTGCGGGGCGGCATTTTTCCTGTAAATTTCCGTATAAAGTTGCTCTTGTGACATGTTGACATGCATGTCGACCGCGCAGGCTCGCACAAAGTGTGTGCCCGTGTTCTGGGCTCAAGCTGGGGTCGGTATAACGTTGCTCTTGTGAATTGTTTTAAGGCATTTCGACTGCGCAAGCTCGCACAAAGTGTGGTCCTAGGTTCTGGGGCGCGGCATTTTTCCTGTGAATTTCCGTATATATAAAATGGCTCTTGTGACATGTTGACGTGCATTTCGACTGCGCAGGCTCTACAAAAGATAGCAGCTGCAATGGCCGCTTTAGACAGTTTGATGGCTCATCCTGGAGTCAGTAAGGTAGCTAGGGCCGCTGGTGCCATTGGCATGTTCTGCCCCTTAAAACAGCCGGGCACAAGACCATTGGGCCAACTACGGTGGATCCACGGGTAGGGGCACCCGATAGGTGGACCATCGAAAAAGGATGCCAAGGGAAAAATGAACCTGGCACTGAAAATTCTGGGGTGAGGGATCATGAACCCACCTCGGAAAATGGGATGAGGGACCATGAGCCCATTCCAGGTAGCTACAGTAGCCCTGAAGACCCCATGGGCGCGCCAAGGTTGTGTGTGCAGTTTGTGCCAACCCAAACCTCGGACCGCGGCCATGGGAATCTGCAGTGTTCCAGCAGCCGCCTCACGCTGCCAATGGTCAAGTTCCCCCGGACGCACCCGTGACCGGCAATGGTCACCTGATGAAGCGTCCAGTCCTTACAACATGCCGCGACAGATTGGTCGGTCAAGTGGAGCGCAACGGCGTGGGCAGCCTTCAGCTAGAGAGCGTGGAGCTGCAGCCACGTCCTCCATCTACGCCAACAGGTCGGGTCACCCTGGAGCTTGTCCGCATGGTCTTCCAGCTGGCTGTGCTGGAGGAAGTCCGACTGGCACATCAACATCATCGAGCTCTTGTTCTTATGGAAGCTGGTCTATTGCTGGAACGAGAGGTGGTTATGATTGCAGGCCACCTGCAACTCCTGTCCCTGAGGGACCTGGACCGCCGAGCTCAATGACTTCTTCGGCTGGTCCCTTCGTGCCTCAGGAAAGGTGAGAGCGAGCAGGATGCCTTGCTTCGAATCCTTAAGCTCTGCTACCAGCCGCTACCACCTGCGCTTCATCCGATCGACCTGCTGAGGCGCCAATTCAGAGGCGAAGCCGATATCTTCGGGCTGCCAGATCCGAGGTGAGCGATGGAGATCTATGGGATTTTTGTACGGGGCCACCATAGATGTTGATTCAACCTATGAAGAGGCGGTGGAGTCCGAAGAGAGTGGCGAGAGCGACTTCTCATTGGTGACGGATCAAGTTGTGGAGGATGCAGATGGTGGAGATCCGCACTGACCAAAGAATGAAGAGGAAGACATGTGAGCGAAGAAGCCTGTAGTTTTTTGGTGGAATGAGCCATCAAGTTTTGGTATCGCTAAAAGCGATCGGTGTGGTAGCGTGGGAAATCATAGCATTTGGATGTACCCTGCCACCTCTTCAAAATCGAGAAGTGTGACCAGTTTTGCATGTCGGGCACTTGCCCCTTGCACAACACAAGGATGACACGCACCAAATCTATACCGGTGCATTGGATCATGGCTCAAGAAAAGCAGGTGCCCTTGCCCATTTCGCTGCTTCGGGTGCCTGTGGGATCGCAGCTACATTTTGGTACTTCAAACGTTCATGTGGGTTTCTTTAGGGCTTCTTTAGGGTTTCATTTATGGTTTCTTTAAGGTTTCATTTAGGGTTTCGTTTAAGGTTTCTTTAGGTTTAGGGTTTCTTTAGAGTTTCATTTAGGGTTTCATTTGGGGTTCCATTAGGATGTCATTTAGGGTTTCTTTAGGGTTTCATGTAGGTCTTCTTATCAGGATTTCTTATCAGGATTTCCAACCGTTGGGGTTTCTGTAGGGTTTCATTTAGGGTTTCTTTAGGGTTTCTGTAGGGTTTCATTTGGGGGTTCATTTAGGGTTTCGCTTACGGGTTCTTCAGGGTTTCAGTTTGGGTTTCAGTTTGGGTTTCCTTAAGATACCATTTACGGTTTCATTCAAAGATTCTTTAGGGATTCATTTATGGTTTCCTAAGGGTTAATTTATGGTTTCTTTAGGGTTCATTTAGGGTTTCATGTAGGCGTTTCTCATCAGGAGTTCTTATCAGGATTTCTTTAGGGTTTCTTTGGGCCTAGGGTCTTTAGGGTTTCCTTCAGGATACAAACAGGAGAGAATAAAGCAAAAGAAAAGAAAAACCAAAGAGGCGGTAAAGACAGGAAGCAGAGAAGCAGAGGAGCAGGAAGTAGAGCAGCAAAAACATATGACTGAAGAAAAGAAAAAGTAGAATAGTCGAAGTAGAAAGGCACAGAAGCACAAAAGCAGAAAAGCAGAGAAGCAGGGAAAGCAGAGAAGCAGAAAAGAAAAGAAGCAGGTAAAGCAGAGAAGCAGAGAAGCATGAAAAGCAGAGAAGCAGGAAAAGCAAAAAGCAGGAATAGCAAAAAGCAGAGAAGCAGAAAAACAGAGAAGCAGAATGCAGAGAAGTAGACAAGCAAAGAAGCAGGAAAAGCAGAAAAGCAGGAAAGCATAGAACCAGGAACCCAAAAAAAAAAAAAAACTAAAACCTGCCGCGAAAAGAAAAACCAAAAATAAATAACCGTCCCTTCCTCTTCCGCATTGTCATCCTCATCCTCCTCAACATCACCATCCTCAACATCATCATCTTCAACACCTCATTATCCTCAACGTCATTATCCTCAACATCATCGTCCGCAACATCATCATCCTCTAGATCATCGTCCCCCACATCAACATCATCATCATCATCAACAACAACAACATTGTCATACATTATCCTCCCACCCCGCCACACTGTTTGGGGTCTCTTGCCAGGATATGTGTTTCAGTCTGGGGTAGTTTTCCTTCCTAGTTGCTGCATTTTGGAGCTAAAATCTATCATTTACGTGCTATTTGCTGCATTTTGGAACTAAAATCTATCATGCGCTTGCTATTTGCTGCATTTTGGAGCTAAAATCTCTGTCTGATTTGCGTGTTGTTTGCTGCCTTTTTGGAACTAAATACATGTAAACCCTTGTAAAGTCGCGTGTTTACAAGCACGCAAACTTGGGTTTTAATACAACGAGCGGGAAGGATCAGGGTATATGTAATGCGCAACATGCACCTTCTGAACATGGAGAATGTAAGTTGAGGCACAGGCGTGTTGAGTCTAAACAATGGATATTATCACAGTGTTGGTTTAGGATTGATTTAGGGGTGGTTTAGGGTTGGTTTTGGGTTCATTCATTAAGGTTTAGTTGGGGTTGGTTACAGTGTTATGTTGGTGTTGTTTAGGGTCTATCTAGAATTTGTTTCAGGCTCGTTAAGCTTTAATTGGGATTTATTTAAGGATACAATATGTGCATACAAATTATATACTGTAAATGTGCATATATAAATATAATCTACATGATTATATTCATCTATATTTATATATACACACGTGAGCAGTCAGCATCCCATTACCATCTGATGCCCTGTCAGCAGTTCGGGCTGATGTGGAAAGCTGTATGGATAATTCTTCGAGATTGGCGGCATTGCCTATTGCTCGGTTAAGGCGAGTGCAAGATGCTCTTTTGAGAGCTTGGGAACTTAGGAAAGCATGGTTGCGTCAGGAGGGGGTGCTGAAAGCATCCAACACCTTGAGGTTCGCTAAGGCATTATGGTGACATTTTATTGTTGGTGTTTTTGCTGACTGTTCGGTTGTTTTCCTCTTTGTGATCCTTTATGTAAACCTTTTTACTCTGAAGTTTCAACCAATTGTTGTGCCAGCCTTAGACTCCTCATTTCTAATGATACGGTCAGAACGGCATAGCTCTATGCTGCGCCATTTTTGGCCGAATGTAAGACACCTATGAGGTGCAGCAGCTGTGGGCATCGTGAAAAAAAAAAACGTGTAGAAGATGTTTTTACATATGTGCAAACTTGGATTTAAATAGAAGAGCGGGAGGGGGGAATTGGGGGAGGGCGCAGCGCAATGGACAAGCATGCATATAAATTCAAAAGTAAACTTCTGACTGCCATGCAACCATGGTGAAACAAAAATCAAGCAAACATAGTTGGAGAACACAATTGAACAAGTGTCTTGAAATACGGTTTTAAGAAATTGAGGAACAAAAAGTAGTTAGGACACTTGTTGAAAACATATCTCAGTTCCTCTCACAACGGCATGCATATAAATAAGCTCACATGCTATATGTCTGTAGTTTCTGTGCAGTTTACATGTAATTTATATGCAGTGTATTATATGAAATGCTAAATGCAAACTACAATATTACACATAGTTTCAAAAGAAGTGCGTATAACTTGAAGCCAAAAACCAAAAACCTATAACAAAAGCCAAAAGCCAAGTGAAGCAAACGGTCAAAAGCCAAAAGCCAAAAGCCAAGTGAAACCCAGGCCAAAAGCCAACAAAAGCCAAGGGCCAAAAGCCAAAAGCCAGGCAAATGGGAGATTTTAGCTCCAAAATCAAAAATGCAGCAAATAGCACGTAAATCAGAGATTTTAGCTCCAAAATGTAGCAAATAGCAAGGAAAGCAGACTGAAAAAAAAACGAAGAAAATATACTCCCCTTATAAAATATAAATAAAAACCAAGAATGATAAGAATGGGATAAGAATGGGAACAGGGGGCAAAAGAGTCGTTACGTTTGATCAAATCAGCACGTATGGTCCGAATGCTGTGCAAGTCTCAAGCCGGGACGACTTCGAGTCTTTTCGTCGCCCTTCGCGCCAGGAAATGGTGGGGTGGAACCTTTGCCATCTGTGACAAACTCTTTTGTGTCGCGAGGCGATGTAAATCTGCTGAAAGTTCCTGAGAACAGCAAAGAACATCGCGGTGATCAGAAAACTTGCAAAAACGGGCAACATCTGGTAATCAATAAATGTGATTATGTGACTCACCCCTCATCCCAGGCTCATCTGAGCACACATTTTTTTGTACACCGACAGATTGCAAGCTGCAAGATTTGCTACCCCTATTTAGCATTTAGCCAGGTGGCTAATGCTCGTACGTCCTTCAGTCTGAAAGGCAGCCGAATTTGATACTTCGCGTCCTGATGCACCTCGTCTTGAGCGCCTCTGCCTCACACCGCCTCAAGCGACACAACTTCACAAGTGATGACAAGTGGCCATCGAAACGATTTGTGCGGGCAATGATTTCATGTGAAGTTCTATGTTGTCGATTTCCATCCCTGCCTTCCGAGGCAGTAAATCGAACACCGACTTCCCGTTCAGACCACTCGAACCTAAGTTAAGAAGATGCCAAACAAGTTGCCAAACAGGCACCCAGCATAACAAAACCAAGTTTTCAAGTGCCACATGTGCTCTTTTTTGTCAAGTGCTGTGCAGGAACACATTGTCGTGTTGCATGCCTGCGTCTTTCATATAGTCCTGCACAGGGCCAGGCATCTGACGCTGTGTATCATTCTTCAGGTAGAGTACCTTGACCCCCACATTTGAAAGCACGGTCTCTTTGATTCTATTCTGTCAAAATCAGCCTTCGCAACACAATGATTGGTTCGCTTATCTAATAAGGAAGGCTGACACTTTGAGTGAAACTCTATAAACTTCTTCTATCCTCAAAGATGCCTCGCGTGTAAAAACTGTTAGCCTATGGCATTGTGGGATTGCACTTGGTTTCATCGGAACATCGATCAGCTTCGCTCCTTAAAGAGGCGCTTCAGGAAGGAGTAGTCTGGGCGCTCTGTAAAGTCCAGCGACTGACAATACTTAACCTCAACACCGCTCACACCAAAAGGATCCAAATCCAAACGCTTCCAAAAGGATCCAAAAGGCCTACTTGGATAGATGTGGCTGGCATTTGACGATTTCAACTTGCCAACTAAACTCTCAATGCAACAAAGATGCATAAGTTGCAAGTGGAACAGGGGCACCATCACAGAGAGTCTCTAGACTTGTCGATTGCTTGACCTCCATGATTTTCCTTGGCCACAGATTACACAAACCGGCTCTCACAAAATAACGTGGTTTGAATTAAATTGAATTAAATTGCCATTCTAACATACCGTCTTACACTCTGAGGTTCTGGTACTTCTTTTCCTTTGTCTCTGCCTTGAAGCCCAGCCGTCATCCCACCAGCTTCAGTAATTCAAATTCCAAGAATGGGCCGTGCAGCAAAAATTTTGTTGCAACTCGAAGCTCTCAAACTAGTAAAGCTGATGCTGCGAGTCAGCGAGTCATGGCATGTTTGGCCTGCAGGCCCTGCCATGGCAGAACACCACGGCTGAAGTAGAGTAGGATGTAGCCCAGCGCCTAACATTTGGGCATGGGTCCCGAACGAATTCTTCACGGACTAGCCGCTGACTAGCCAACTGTGGATGGGCAATAGGTTCCACAGCCCTTATCGATCCAAATTGGCAGCTGGAATTCACTGCGTCAGCTGTGGCAGTAAATGCTTTCGGCTTTGGGCACCTCCATGTCATCGCGACGGCTCTGTTCTAATCCCTTGTGGGCATTGACTGATGCCTTGAATAGGCACAGCCGCCCACAGCTGGACAATGACTAAACAAAAAAATAGTACGGCTGACTACTGAACCCAGCTTGCCATGTCTTGCCATCTCTGCCCCAACTTGGCTGAGATCAACGCGTATCGGGCTGTCCCCGTCAAGCTTTTGCGTTGACCTTTCACTCTCAAGCACGTTCTTTGTCTTGTATTTTTTTTGCGTCCGATGTTCCATATCTGGCAAGTACAAATACCTTTAGCTTTTAACTTGAGGCTCCAAAAGCCCTTCAATAAGCCTCCGCATTTCAATCCCACCACTTGAAGCTTACACCTCTGTACAAAACCAGCAAGGCAATTCCAACTGCAGCTGTGCAACAGATTGGGTTGTGTTTGCCCTTAGAGTCGCAGAAGCGCTTTGCTAGCCCGAAATCAATCAAATACACCTTGGTGATTCGAAAGCAGCAGTGCCCATGCAGACAATGTTTCAAAAGAAAAAATTACACTAAGGTGATCGGTAGCTTTTCCATTTGATTATCAAGCTGCCAAGTTGGAAGCGCTGCCCAATCCAATCGTGAAGTTGTCGGGTTTCAAATCCCGGTGGATGAAGTCCTCTCAATTTAAACCAGCCCGCAAAGGATGCGAAGCAATGCGGACAAAGCAAAGCAAAACTAAGGCATTTTGTTTCAACTAAGTCACTACTCCACCCAAAAAAAATCCTTGGAATGAAGATACTCGAGTCTGGTGATCATCTGGTCCGCAAGCTGCATGAGACTCTTCACGGAAAATTTCCGCTGGCAGCTGCTGAAGAGATCCTGCAAGTGAAGCAACATCTTTTGTGGCTGCCTTTCCTTTCCTCTTTCCTTTCCTCCGCTCAAGAGAACCTGATTTTGGCAAGTCTCCTCCAAAGATGGACCAAGGAGATCCATGACCATGACATTGAAACCACCTAGCAGATTTCAAGACCCTGCTCCCACCCACCAGTTGCTATAAGTATCCGATGAAAGTGGACGAAGCTTGGCAATTTGGCAGGCAAAGGCAGACTCTGGGCCTTCACTTCCCGAGTAGTGGACATGTGCAATACCTTGTCCTCCTTCGAGGTGCTTCAAAAGTTTGGCTTCATAGAGCAGCATCGGATGACGACCTCAGTTGCATCCACTCTGCAGCTTCAGTGAAGCCAGACTGGCATCACCGCTTGAACTGGAAAACGGGAGGAAACATATGTATTATATAGATTTACATAGGGTAATTCTCCGATCATTCAAGGCATAATTCATGTCTGCATAGGCACCACTTTGCTCTTCAGTCTTCACGGCCACTTCTTGTCCGTTCTGCGAGTTGATTGCATAGTAGATTTTTCCAAAGGATCCGCTGCCTCTGCCAGGACACATGGATCATCATGGATCCGTTTGCGAAACCTGTGCCAAACCCGTACTTTGCTGAGGTTGGTGCCCAGTTTGCGGCCTAACCGGTACAGACTTCCAACAGTTACCAACGGCTGAGCTTGGTTTGAATCCTTGGGCGTCGGGGGAATCCAAGCCAAGATAAGCCAAGACGGTTCCAAGTCGCGTCACTGATGTCACTGTCTCTGTATGGGGTCCCATCGCAGCCAAGGCTCTACACTACCGTCCATGTTTAATCGTGGCTACCTGGCATGCCTTCCGCTTGGCTAACCAGGATGGCCTGCAGCGACCTCAGGTGAGATCTCCAACTCATCCAACTAAGTTTTGGGCTTCGCTTCAGTCAAGACGGCAAATGTTGCGAACCGTACTACGTCGTACTATAAACGTCGTACTACATCGTACTACGTCGTACTACGTCGTACTACGTCGTACTTATCCCACCTTACACTCGCGCAGGTCTGTGAAACAAACATGCCCTCCGTGCTTGAGCCACGGAGCTGCAGAGGGCAACGCAAAACGTCGACACAGTTTTTCGCAAACCCAAGATCTAGCAAGACGATCTCAGGTTCACATGATACCGCTAACAGTGTGACAGCATTTCTGCAGCCCGTTTCGCATTGCTGCATTTGATACGTCGAAAGTAACCTGCTCTACACATCCAAATTATGCATTCGAGCATCAATCAGAATCATACCCAAACCAGAATGAACCGTAGCGCAGTGGGCCTCATTGCTAGAACTGCTCCTGGGCTGAAAGCAAGAAATGTGACAAGCTCCGGGACTTCGGGGGAAACCTACTTTGATCACGTTCATGCATTCTTGCAAGTTCTCATGCATTGTGAAATGAAAAAATGATGAGGATCGTGCGCTCACTGAAGATGTTGAGGCAACCTCGGACTCATTTGTTTTCCCCAAAATGATGCGCAATTTGCATCGCAAGTGTCTCACAGTTGATATTGGCATATATTTTCGATTCTTGCTTGCCGAGCCACTGAGGAGTGGTGCAACAGGGAGCTTGAAGTGTAGGTGCTGCCAGGACAGCACAAAGAGGCGACTAGATGACGGATGTTGGTTTCAAACGCACTCTGCTTCATAGAACAAGCATGCCTCCTCACCAGCACCATCAAAGGTGTACCTGGACAATTCCACAAGGCGTGAAATCGGGAAGGGAACGCAGGTCAATTAGAAATGTGGTCCTTGTGGAAGCCAAGTGACGACATGCAATGTCCAAAGAAGAAGATGTGCAAAACATTCTCAATGTGTGTTGTAGCTGTCATTTTCTTACATATGGTGCCCAAGACTTTGAGTACGGATGTCGCTTGCATCCAACTCGTCCTATGCATGTGGTGTGCAACTCCTCCTTAATATCTTTGATTGGGTGGTGCGAGCATCCCAAACTCTAATTCTCAATTCCAACATTGCAAAGAGATGCACACCAATGCCCTTGCAAACCCTCAGTTTGCACTCAGAACTGCTGATGCACGCCATAGTTGGGTAGTGCCATCTCATCGTCTGCCACGAGAACGAGAACGAGAGTCCCGATTGCGACCTTTGCCTCCACCAGCACCTCCTTCTGCTGGTTTGCGGGTGCCACATTTGAAGCACTCAGTCCTCCTGGCGAAGTTGTTGCTGCCACAACTTGGACATTTCCAGTCACCTGGACGAGGTTCTTTCCCGCCGCCTTTGCCCTTGTCGCCCTTGTCACCCTTGTCGCCCTTGGCGAAATCCCCCATGCCTCCACGATCCTCTCTGAGTTCGCCCCTGGCTTGTTTTTCACGACGTTTCCTCAGCCAATCAGGAGTTCCACTTTCTGAGCTGCTGCTTCTCTTCTTCTTTCCATTTTGCCCATCACCCATGGCCACGGCGAGGGCTTAAATGAGGGCCTTCTTACTTGCGCCAAAATGGCTGCGACGGAAATATTGTGCTTCGATCAAACCAAACTATTCACTCCGTTAACCAAAATTGTGAGTAACCGAGGCGTCTCTGCTCATAAAGCGCGGCAAACAAAGCAAACCCCAGCAGCCAGAGGGGGCACTCTGTGAACGCATCTTTGAAGATCCACCCGAGAACTGTGACGTCCTGAGTCAAAAGCACAGGTGCATGCACATTTTCGGTGGTACACATCGAAGAAAAAATAGAAAATTGGCGTGCGAGTGTCCTTGCCAGCACTCTGGGCAGTGAACTTCAACCCATTTTCACTGGCCTGTTCATGCAATTGGCGTGATGGCAAAATATATATATATATAATATATATATGTGTGTGTGTGTATATTTATATAATTGTGATTTGGAAATCCTCTGCGATGCTTCACGCCAGGGCCAGCATCTTAAGTGACGTGAACATCAGAACAATGTCCCATCTTGTAAAAATATACATTAATTTCATTTAATGTCCTCATTCCGTGAACGCCCTGCTATGTTTTCAATGTTTTTAACGCACGCATCCAAGAGACTGGGCAAACAAGATCATGTTGACTTTGGATACCTTTTGTCTGCAACCACCGCAACCATGCTAAATTTCCGACAACATTTTGAGATGTTCACTCCGGATTTGTCCAAACGTGTTCCATATCGGTGCGCATGATGAACGCAGCATAGCGGCGCCATTTGTCTTTATACATTGGAACTGTTACCTTCGCCAACGCAAAAATCAAGTTGTTTTAATTTCATCCCAATTGCCAACTTGCCAACCAATACGGGATTTTAATGAATTAAATTATACACTTAACAATCTTGCCGCTGCCCATTTCTATCTGCTAAAACAAGTCGCGTGTTTTCAAGTGTTTTTTTGTTCACCGCGCCTTCCCGGAAACGAATACAAACAATGCAAAATGAAGGGGAAGCAGTTCCAGGGAAATCGTTCGGAAGTGTTGAGGCTCTGAAGTTTGCATGTGTGAATCTATCAGAGTTGCCACGTGTTGATTTCAATCGCTGGCCATTTGAGTTTCCAATCTCAGCCTTTTGGTTTGATCAGCAGCTGGGCCCTCGGTATCCATCGAAAATGTGCGGAGCTACGATCCAGTGGCATGGCGGTTGGGATGAGTTTCTATCCCGATGGAAGCACCTCGGGAGTTTGCGATAGGCAGCGGCGGCAAGGAGCTTTTGGGCAGACTGGTGGTGGGAGACGGGAAAGTGATTTGTCTACTTTCCTTGCCAGTTCTGTAGGTAGCCATTATCAACGCAATGATTGGAGCAATGCGGGCGGGCATGAACAACCTGCTCAACCTCCTGGCAGATGGTACTGGACCCCTCAACTCTGGGTATGGGGATCTACTTTGGAGGAGGCAATTCAAGAGTACCTTTCTAAGGGATGGATGACCTTAGATGCAGAGCTGATTGATTTTCTTCATGAATCTGTAGATTGTCAGTCGCAGCGGTCAGTGCAGGCGCAGGGGTTGACAACAGACCAACCAAGAGGGCTGGGTCCATTTTGGATCCTGATGACATGACCGGTGAAAAGGAGCTGGACACGTCTGTCAAGGATTCCAGGAACCCAAACACCGGGAAGTAATATGTTCCTACACACGATGGGCACATTACCAGCGTCGTGCCAAGTTGTTTCAGAGCACAACTGGCATTGACAAGGAGTTCCAGGCAGGCAAGCTGATTGAGAAGTTGACCGGCGAAGCTTGGTCTGCTACAGAATGCTTGGACGTGGCTCAGCTACGCTGTGAAGACGGTGTCGAGAAACTACTGTGACATCTCTGGGAGGAACTGGAACCTTTGCAGTACCTACGCTCCTTCAGCACCTTGTCGCAGTTCTATAAGACTTTCAAGAGACAGAGGGGCCAGGAGATGACGTCTTACGACACCAAGTTCAGGGCTCAGTGCAAGAGTTGCAGGAAATAGGTGGGGCAATTGATCGGACGGCCAAGGCCTTCTAGTTCTTAGAAAAGGCCTCTATGCCTCTATATCAGAACAGCTCAAGCGCCAGGTGGTCAGCAGCGCTGGAGGAATATATGAGTATGAACGTCTCAGATCTTCCTTGGTTGCTGTCGTGCCTCAGATCAAGCGACAAGAGGAAGAGAACCAGAATGGACCTGGACGGTGGCAGTCCAAGGGATCCTACAACAGGAACAATCGACCTGCCAATAAGGCCAATGCCGTTGATCAAGGCGGAGAAGATGGTCCAGTTGATGGCGATGATCGAGATCTTGTCGAGGATCCCGATCAGCTTGAACTTGAAGCAGAAGTGCTGCTGACACATGCTGCCCGTAAAAGGGCCGAGATATCCAAGAATAGGGGCTACAACAAACCAGAAAGTCAAGAAGCCAGGACCCAGAGAATCCAGAACATGAAAGACAGGATGCCCTGTGCCGCTTGCCAGGCTGTCGGTGTGACGGCCCATGGACATGGGCACAGTGATGAGTCTTGCCCCCAGAGACAAAAGAACAAGCAGTCACCAGCCAAGCACACCTTTGTAGTGAGCCAGCAGCACATGGAAGAATCTGAATCCGACGATGATGCTTTCTTTGTTGGGCTGACCAGTGGCAACATGATGGATGAGCACATGGGTTGCCATTTTTCCGGTGCTGTGGTCCTTGCGACCTCTAGTTCCATGAGAGAAGTGACCAAGGAACTTGCTTTGGCAGACACTTGTGCAGGCCTTAGCTGGGTGGAGCATCATCTTGAACAGCTGGCTGAGCGCGGAATGCCTTTTCAAATGGTTCCTGATGATCAGCCTTTTCGCTTTGGAGATGGTCCCCGGGTAACTCCCCTATGGGCAGCTATTTTTCCCATCTATGTGGGGCGAAGAATGCCGTGCTGGTCAGGACCAGTGTGGTCGCTGAAGACGTCCCCCTCTTGATCAGCTCCAGGGCTTTGAAAACTTTGGGAAGGTTAGTTGACTTGGATAGAGATCTCTACCACTTCAAGCGTTTGCGAACTACAGCTGCCTGGGCAACGACAGCTACCGGCCACATCGGGTTCCACATTTTGGTTGGCAATGACATGATGCTTGCACAGTTGGTCAGCATGGATTGGGAAGCCTTTGCTGCGGATCTCCAAGGACATGAGGGTTACATGTATTCCCTAACCCCAAAACCGAGGGTCCACTAACACGGTTGGGATGACCCTCAAGTTGTTTGCATGGCTGATGATGTTGCAAACGAAGATTGCAAGTTGGGCTATGGTGTCCCACGTATCCGTGCACTCCTTAATGAAGACCTCCCAGCCAATAGCGCAGCCGTTACTTTTCCTTCGCCTGAGCAGTGTCGCGTCAGACCATTGCTGGCCCGCACCTTGAGCCAGGACAGCGGGAAATTGGACCTGTGACAACGCTGTCGGCTCACTCTGCTCTATACATTACATGGGTCATGCACCCCCCACACCCGACACATTTATTTGTGTGGTGCAGGAGCGAACGCCAGATCAAAAAAAAATGACCCTCTTAATTATCGCTGCATGATGCAAAAGATATTATGTGATGTGAGTCCCCGGAATTCTGCATGTGTGAAACGCAGAGCTGTTCCTATTGTTGGTGCTGTACAGGAAAATGACACTCTTCACAGGGTCAGTGACGCCGCCGAATGGCCTGCGTCACATCGCCTTTGATTCGCAGTCATCGACCGCAGCAATCACCGACGCCGCCGAATGGCCTACGTCGGATCATGCAATCCCCAGCGCCGCCGAATGGCCTACGCCGGTTCATGCACGGTCCTGATATGACACAAACTCAGGAAAATTCGGGAATCACATTACTGAGGTCGCCCACCTCAATTCATATTCACAAAAACCTGCCCGTGCGCGGGGACCATTGTACGCGGTCTCACATGCACCAGCATCAAAACCTTAATTAGCCCGGCTCTCATGCCATTTTGAGTCGTGGCCCACCGTGATGTAGTCTTAGCGTCTTGGTTGTCCCTTTGCTGCTCGACGCTGCTCCACCCTCTTGTCCTTCCTTCTCCAAACATTGGTGATCGCTCTCACATGGTCTCGGAATGCCTCGGATATTAGAGCGATCGGCTGGATCTAGCAACCGGATGTTGGTCCCAGTTGTGCATCACTCTGTTGAGATGATCTCAATTTGCCTTCCCAGACCTTTTCAAGTTCAGCAGGTAGTCCCACGCCAACCTTGTTGAGGGTCCCTTTCTCTCCGTCACTGCGCCCACCAATGATACTGGATCGATATGAAGTTCGTCTTCACGCTTCACTCTGAGGTAGTCGTAGGATCTGATCGCAAAGGCTCCCGCGATGATCTTCCGGACAAAATTTGTAATTTCACGCCTGACCTCTGCCTTGTTCTCATCGTCTGCATCTGCCACGTCGTTGAGTTTGTTGGCGATGAATTGTGGAGTGACACCAGTCTGCACCAAGTACTTCATGAGCTGGCACAAGAACTTGAGACCTTCAACTCCTCTGAGATACATTTCGAGGTCATGGCTGCCAAATTTCCCACTTTTGAAGATCTGCTCGAATGTTATCTTGCACTCCTCCTCTGTGGGTTCCCGGGCGTCGCCGTGCGCGTCCTCCCCGACAAAGGGAATGTACCCGTCATACTCCGGGATCATGCCGTTGCTCCTGACGTGCTCGACGTAGGTCTGAGCAGGCGTGGAGACCGTGTAGAGGTAGAAGATGCGGTAGCGGTCTTTGATGTGTGTCAAGATCAAATTATCGATGATGCGTGCCGTCCAATCCACAGCATCTTCATTTTCTGCAACATCAACGCAGTGAATAACACATCCTGGAACTAGTCTAGTAGCCCACGGTGGAATTTGGTTTTGCTTTTCGCGCTCCCTTTCTGCGCGTTCTTCTTCTTCTGCTTCACGCTCATCCTCGGCTTCCTGCCTCTCTCACTTTCACACTTTCAATGGTGGTCTTAGGTTGAGGAATTGGTCTCGCCTGTCCTCCGTTCCCATTATGACCTGGCTTGCTTGGTTGGGGTCCAGATATGTCGACATCGTCGTCCGTCCTCGCCTCAGCTTTGGCCTTGGTCTCCTTCACCAAACAATCGATCTCGTCTTTGTCCATGTCAACATCTCCTTCTGCGTCACCGTATCCATTACCACTCGGTGGGTACTCTTGTTCAGGTACTCCAGGAGGTACACCTCGATTCTGTTTGGTGGTTCTCACCCCCCAGCTGACCAGCACTCCAGAACACCTGATGCAAATGGACTCGGTGGCATGTCGGGCAAATGATTCTGCCCGTCTCCCTTGGGACGTAGTTCTCGGCGATGAACGTTACAAGCCTGTTTCTCAGATCAC